CTTGTGTGTGGGAAGCTCCCACTATATTTATTCCTGCTTACCACTGTTATTTTAGCTGAGTGTGGCACTGCGTACCTAGAACCATAGCACTTGAGAGGCCAAGGCAAGAGGGTTGCTGTGAAAAAATCCAAAAGAAAGAAAAAAATTTTTTTTGTGTGTTAAATAGAAAAAAAATTCCTCTTTGAGCTGAGGAGAGAGGATCATTGTGAGTTCGAGACCAGCTTGAGCTACAAAGTCGGTGTAAGGTCAGCCTGAATCGTAGTAAGGCCCTGTCCCAAAAAGGCAAAAAAAAAAAAAATCCTCTCAGAGTACTGCCTGATCTTCCCCAGGGTCTGAAATCCAAGACGCCCGTTTATTAGACAGTTTCTAGGACACACACTAACACATACTCATCATTCTTAGAAAGGCGTTCCCCAAAGTAAAGATCCATACACAGCAAAAAAGACAGTGCAAAATGTTTTGAGTACTTCATTTTACTTTCGGGTTAGTAGCCTTTCTCTGATCATTAGAACGAATGAAAAACCAGGCAACTCCTGTTTTCAGACAGCCACAGTTGTGTGCACAGATTTGGGAAGTGGTGAATTTTGTCCTTTTCCGAAGAAGACAGTCCAAGTGCCAGGCCCCGGGGCCTGTCAGTGTGACTTTATGAAATTAAGATGAGGTCATCACAGGGGCTGTCATCCAACACAGCCGCGCCCTTACAGAAGAGGACGCGTGGACAACCAGGAGTACACACGGGCGGACTTGTGAGAGGAGCCAAGCGCTGCAGGAAGCTGGGAGAGCACAGCCCCAGCCTGCACATGTGGACCTTGGCCCACCAGTACCGGGATGGAAGTGAGGCCTTTCTGTGGCTGACGCTGTGCTGTGCAGCCCTTGACCTCCTGCTCTGGGAAGCGACGGCTGGATCTGTGCTGCCCGGAGCACACACAGCACCATCTCTGAGAAGCCAGCCGACCGAGCACTGTCTTGGTCACCCAGCAGCCTTGGGCACCTGGGAGATAATTCAGGTCCAGTGAACACAGCTCATCCTTAGAGCAGCACGGAGGTGCTGGTTTCTGATGTGTCACCAGCACCAGTCTGGTACGCATCCAGATAAAGGGGGCAGACAGTAGGATTTCAGCCTATTGGCGCCGAGCCTGCCAGGCCGGCTGAATCGGTGGCAGTGCCTGTGGATCCCCCTCTGCGGGCTCCCAGCCATCTGCAGACAGGAGACGCAGCTCCGAAGCCGTGGGCTCCGGCCTGTCTGCTGGGGCTCTGAGTTACACTGACTTCGAATATATTCTGCGTTTGTAAATCACATTGAAACAGCTCTTTTGAGTTGAATTACTTTTCTTGTGATGTCTATCCAGGGGAAAAAATTCCAAGACAAACTTAGAAGTATGGAAAACGTTAAGAAAAAGCAACAAGAACCATTAAAAGTGGCCATTTCTCTCAACTATAGCTACATCATCTTGTCATCTCTTACCCTTTAAAAAGGCTTTTCGTTGGGAAAGAACTTCAGATTTATGAAAACATTAAACAGAGCTCACACAAGTCCTTTTGCCAGCGACGCCTATTAATCCTTTGCCTGGCCTGGTTGATAATTTGCCCTATTTTAAGCCAGCACATCATCCGTTAATCGATTGACTTGACATTGGCCAAGCTCTGGGCTTTGTGGAAGACAGCGGAGGAGACAGAGTCCACCATCCGGGGGAGCCGGGCTGGGAGGTCACAGCGGTCAGACCCAGGAGCATGGCGATGTCTGGAGCAATCGGAAAGAGAACACCCCGAGGCCCTTCCCAGGTGGCTGGGCACAGCCTTCCATAGCATCATTAACGACTACTCTCCATTCCACAGGAAGAAACAGATGCAGAGGCAAGGGCACCCCGCATGGCCGGGTTTTTGGCCGGTTGAGATTCCTGCCACCCAGGCTCTGCCAGCCCCATGTCTTCTTGTCGGCTGTAGCTCATGTCCAGGTCAGTGGTGCTCACTGGTCACGTCCAGGTCAGTGGTGGGACCATGCCTTGCCCGTGAGCACTTGGTGAGGGAGTTTTCATAATCCTAGAGCATGCAGACTCATTCACGGACTGCTCCCGGAGGACCCTTGGGATGTTCCCTGGTGCCCTTTTGGAGAGAAGAGGACAGAAGGGTGCAGAGTTTCCTGCTGAGTTTCCAGCCCACAGCTACCAGCCCCTGTGCACAGCTGCATCGCCTCAGGGAGGGGACCCAGCAACTACACTGGTGCCAGCAGGTGTTGACCTTGAGCTAGCTCAGTGGGTTCAGACCCACCAGGCAGAAAGCACTTCGGGTGACTGACACCCTGGGACTCTTTTTTTTTTTTTGTCTTTTTCCTTTTTATCGGTACTGGGGATTGAACTCACGATTGCTTGCTTGCAAGACAGGCGCTTATGTCGCTGAGCTAAATCCCCAGCCCCCCACCCCGAGACTCTTACAGAAGCCACCTGTAATCACTGATGCCACAGGGCACGAGGGCAGAGCTGCACCCATCCCCAGGCAGTCACACTGCTGTGGCAGGCGCTGGGCAACTTGCGGGAAGCCAAGCGACCCGGCCCACCTTCAAACTGCCCCCCGCCCTGGCACAGGGAGGGGAAGAGATGCCAGAGAGTCTGCCCCATAGGGCGCTTCCCAAGTGCCCACGAGCAGTGGTGTGCAGAGTTGAGTCTGCAGCCCAAACCAAGAGCAGAGGCCTTGGGGGAGGTGCATGCAGGCTCCACCCACAGCCACGCTCCAAGCTGTGGGCACTAGCCCAGCGATACAAGCTCTGAGGTCTCCTTCTGGGGGGCTGTCCCTGCCTGGTTTCTCTGTGCTCACCAGAGAAAAGAACAGAAGTCAAGGAGCAGAAACTCTCTGCTTGCTTTACTGGGGGACTGGGGACTGAACTCATGGCTTAATGAGCTACATCCTAACCTCCGGATGTTTTGAGACATGGTCTTGCTATGTTTTAAGTTACCCATGATAGGTTCAAACTTTTGATCCTCCTGCCTCAGCCTCCTAGAGTGCAGGAGTTAAGGGCCATGCCCCCATGCCCCGATGCCCCCAGCATCTGCATAGTGGCTTGGCCAGCTTCTGCAGGGTGGGGAGCTCCGGGAGTGAGAAACCTGGGCCCCTGGGGAGCCAGGTGGGCGCTTTCCTTTCGGGTAGACAGAGGACGCTGTTTGATGAGCAGGGGTGGCGAGCAGGAGCCCCAGTGTCCGGCAGCCATGAGTCACTGGCCACATGACATGTGCAGGTGGCCACAGATGGCCCTGGACCAGTCCTTCTCATTTACAAAGATACAAATCTTAATTATTAATGGCTAAGATGAAAAAACACACTGCCCAAGTTAGAACATTCAGATGGGCTGTTTCCTGGGTTCCCCTGCACAAAGGGGGTCTGTTCTGCGACATCCAGCTGGCCCCACTTGTGCCAGCACCAGGGTCTCCTTGTCAGGGCAGTAACTGGTGCTGCACAAACTGGGTGCTTCAGCACATTCACCCCCAGGACCTGAGGAGGTGGGACCTGGCTGCAGAGGCTTCTGGGAAATGGAAAATGCCTTTGAAGCCATGGCCCTGAAAAGAGCTGAGCTTTCTAGAGAGCAGAGTCAGCGTGGGGACTGCACCAATGGGAACCTCATAGGCACAGATGGTGAAGCAGCTTCAGGTGGGGCTGAGGAGTTATTTGCTAAGCCCTAGGAAGAGAGTACGGATTCCATTCCATCCTGAGGGCGTAAGTCCTGCTGGCCTCAAGCTTTTTGGGAATGCAGAGCTGGGGTGCAGACACTCACAGGAGGAGAGGGATGGAACCCTTCAAGATGCTGACCAGGGCCTTGGCTGCTGCCCAGCAGCAGGGCTCTTGGGTGCTGGAGGCCCTGGGTCCAATCCCCAGCACAAGGAAAAGGAAAAAAAACCCCAAAACAAAAAGTAGTCCCCCAAAATGAAAAATAAACAAAAACTGCAAATTCAAAAGCCAATGGATTTTCAAGCTGACAATCTTTCTTTTTATTTAATCTCGAGAAGACTGTTTCCAATATTGTATCAGCAGCTACATTACTACCTTTAGAGATGGGTTCTTATTTTAAAAATTACCTCAATTCATGCAGAGTATGTTTTAGATGAGGGGAATGGATGTTAAATTTTTTCAAATGCATTCATGCAGGAAAAACTCAAATGATGGGTCCTCCTTTTTCAGTGAAGGTTGCTAATATATACTTTTAATACTAACATGTTTCTATTCTTGATTTAAAACTTACAATTGTGGGATATTGTTCTTTTAGTCTGTGCATAGATTGTATTCGATAATATTTTATTTAGATTTTTGGTATCAACCTCAGTAAAACTGGTGTGTCTTCTGTTAAAATGTGGGATACTTTTTGTCAATGTATTGAGTAACAATACATTGCTTTTTTTTCTTTCTTTCTTTTTGTCTTTGGCTTTTTGAGACAGAGTCTCACTAGCAGTTCAGGCTGGCCTAGAACTTACTCTGCAGCCCAGGCTGGCCTCAAACCTGCAGCAATCCTCCTGCCTCAGCCTGCCCAGTGCTGGGATCATTGCTTGTTTCATAAAACAAGCCCTGCTGCGGAAAGGCATGCTGGGCAGTTGCGTTTTGTATCTTTCCGGATTGTTTAGTGAATGTTGCTGAAGTTGCCTAGCCCTCTGGCTTTGCAGGTAGATTCAGGCACTGGTTGGATTCTGCCTTGCCTCGGAGCAACCTGGGCACCACAGCATGGATTTTGGTCCACCTAGCCACCCTCCCTCTGTGCCACAGCCCTGTGGCGTGGCTTCAGGCCCGTGAGTCGTGCATGGCCTCATCAGTGGCCTCATCCAGGAGCGGTGCTTTCCAGCGTGACTTCCATGTGCCCTGTTCTTTCGTCACCGCTGGCCCCGATATCTGTGGCTCTGGGGTCTCAGAAGACTCCTCTCTGCTCCTTGGTCCGCTCCTAGGAAGCCCTCAGTCCATGCTGAGCCTTGGAGCCCTGAGCTCCTAGAAGAGGCTCCCCACCCCCCACCCCGCTCTGCCCCGGGTTACTGATCGCTATCCAGGCCACAGATAACTTATGTTTCTGGATCATGGCATGTGCATCTCTGCTCCCGGTCTCTCTCTGGATTCCAGCTGTAATTGTAAGTGACAGCACAGGCAACTGCCGAGGTAGTGGGGCGAAGCAGGACGTCTTTTACCCATGAAGGGTCCCAGCGCCCCACACAGTCCTTGGCCCTGTGCAGGATGCTCCTGCAAATAGGCTCACGTTTCCGGAGCAGCAACTACTTCAAGCCAACTTCAGAGAACTAAGAAAATTTCTAAGGAAGCAACAGACACAAGTCACTGTGCTCAGTCTTACCCTGCCAGATGGGTAACCAGAGATGGGCATTGTGGGGGGAACTTCTGCCCTGGGCCCCGCGGCCCTGGGCTCCTCTGCAACAGGGGCTTCCAGGCCGTCAGACAAAGCATTTATCTTCAGCAGAAGTTCATCTAGCAGCCCGGAGAACTCGTCCAGGTAGTGGTTCTGAGGAGCACAGAGGTGCATGGGTAAACGTGCTCTAGGACATCCACTTCCCTCACCCCATCACCTGAAGCACTGTGGGCCCCTGACGTGAGAAAGACAGAGCTGCCTTAGGAGATGCGCTGGGCTTGGCCTGGCCTCGAACTCCGTCTCTGTACCCCAGGATGGCTAGACTGCGCCTCCCGACACCCGTATCAATGCTAAGGGTGCAAGGCCACATGGAGGATGAGTGGACAGACGCAGTAGCAAGGATGAGACAGGAAGCAATGAAGACTCAAAGCCCTGTGCAGAGGGCCAAGACCACCAGTGTGGTGATGGGCTTCAGAGCCACTCAGGGTGACAACGTCAGCTGTGCACGTGAGTGTGACCCAGCTCATAGAGGGGGTGCCAAGTGTCAGGCAGAAGCTTGCGTCTGATACCAATGCAAGTGACTTGGTCTAAAGATGCCAGCGAGTGTGTGTGTGTGTGCATGTGTGTGTGCGTGCATGTGTGTCCAGGGAGGATCAGAGTTCACCTTTCCAGCCACACAAGGCCATTGTGAGGACGCAGAGACTGAGTGGAGGAGAAGGGACTTGGGAAACTGTAAAGTGCATTAGGATTTCAAGGGGAGGTCCTCGGAACTCACCCTGGATGAGAACTGACCCTGGCTGCTGCCATGGTGCCTAGCACAGAATCGCAACACCCCTGCGATCGTAGGAAGCACAACCCTGCAGGGACAGCATCCTCCCAGGACTCCGTGGTGGCTTACCTGCTCCAGGGCCACCCCAGCCTCTGCCCTTGCCGGCTCTTCCAGCCCCAGGAGGGCGAGCGTCTTCCACCAGACCAATGCGGCGACCTCTTCAAGTCTCACCGGTGATTTGCAGTGAAAAGGTTTTCTCTTTTGGAAACAAGTCAGGAGGGAAACTCTCAGCTGGAGAAGAGAATAAGCAAATTCTGCATCAGAATTGGTTTTGTTAGTTTGCTAAAGTAGAAAATGGAGCCTCAAAATCGCAAAACTGAAATGTTTTTAGATAGGACCCCAGACTCACAAGCCACACACATACAAAAAAAGAAGAAAAAGTGGCTTTACCAAAATTAACAATTACGGCTCTCCATAGACACTGTCAAGAGGATGAAAAGAGAAGCCACAGTTGAGAGAAAATATTTTCAAATCCCCTAATAATAAAGGCATTGTAGTTAAAATATAAAAATTGCTATTATGATTTATACTCATGTCCCCCCCATAGACTGCGAGCCTCAGGCAGCAGGAATTAGATGTTGGTACCTTATTTCACTGTTCCCTCACTCTGACAACCACTCTGGACACGGATGTTGACTGAATACATGAACAAATGGGTAGATGGATGGACAGATGTGCAGAGGTAACGATAAACAGTTTGGTGGGACCAAAGGTGAAGGGGTTAGTGGGTGGGTGGGAGGACGAGCGGGGAGGGGAAGGATGATGAAGAGGTAGTGATAAATCATTAGGTGGGATGAGGTAGAAGGATGGATGGGTGGATGGATGGAGAAGTAGTTGTTTGGGTCAGTGGGTAGACAGCGCATAGACCGATGGATGAAAGAATGGGAGGATGGATATAAGGATGAACGGATGGGTGGATGAACAGATAGCGGGCGCGAGTGGGGAGTTAGGAGCAGCTGAAGGAGCACTCAGGCCTGGTTGTTGCGGGGTGTGAGGATGTGGGGTCCCTTCCAGTATCACTCTATTCAGTCCAAATTATAAAAACTGCAGAGTTTAAGTTGCTTATGAAGCTCGACTACCAACTCCTCCTGCACGTACTGGGCTCTCCACGGATCAGAAGCCCCTTTGAAGAGGGACGTGCTGGTCAGGGCACTGGTGCAGGACGAGGCATGCCCGGGCCCTCAGGGTCCAGCCGCTGGATACTGGGTGCAGGAAGGCTCCCTGCTGGGCACTGTCTGGGAACAGTGAACAGTGCTAAACCCTGAGTGGGTGCAGGGTGGACTCACAGCAAGGCCAGGAGGGCCGGGTGGCTCCCACACCCGAGCTCTCCGCTGAGCACCTGCTGGGCTGCCTGACCAGAGCTGCAGGACCACCGCCTGGGGTGTGAGGAGTTGTGGGGGGAAGTTCTGGGTGGAGGAGCACTGAGACTGGGGCCCGCAGGGGCCAGGGCGATGCAGGATGTCATGTTTTATTTTCATTTGTGGTTTCATTGTAAGTGTTCTGCACAGCTGCAGGGGAGTGCTAGCATTAATTATTACTCATTCACTGAAAATTCACAGCGACTCGGCCCCTTGTCCGGGGCGCTTCCTGCAGCAGCTCTGGAGTCCTCTTTCCTGAGGGTACATTAGCTGTGCTGTCCTAGCTGCCTCTGTGTCCTGAGTGGATTCAACACACCTCCCCTTCATGGTGGTTGTGACTTTGGGAAGAGCCAGAATCGAACAGTGCCAGAGCTGGTAGACGAGATAGGGGAGGACACAGCCTTGCATTTTAGGAGCTGCCTTTCTGCTGGATGGTGCTCGGCCGCAGCACTCACTGTGTTTTTGATTGCATCTCGTGAAGGTGCTCAGGAAAGAGGACTTGCAGAATTTTATCAGACAAAAAGGAACAAGGCTTTTGACGTGAGGAGTTCACAGCAATGCATCTCTGACCATGATTTGTAAAAAGTCTAAACATTTGCATGTATTTTGATCAGACCTCATTGTTCAGCACAGAGCAAGACCCAGGCCGGCTTCCTGGAGGAGGCAGCACCGGGAGGCCGTTGTCTTGCTGGACTGAGGAAGACTCCACCAGCGGGGCGCAGCCCCTTCCCGGGGGCCTTCACCCGACTGGGGCAGCAGGTGGCACTTCCCCAGCCCTGACTCCATGACCAGGCATCTATACCCACCGTTCCCAGGCACAGCGTGGCCATCACTATGGCGAGGGCCCCCAGATACCAGGCCACGGCTGGCCAATGGGAGGTGGACAGGGCCGGGACTGAGTCTTCCTGGCTTCTCCTGGGAAACCCCAACGGCAGCAGCAGCCTGGTGTCCAAGCGTGCAAAGGTGCTGGGTGGCAGCGCCCAGGCTGCACTGAGAAGGTGGTGCAAGTGGGCATGCGCGGCCAGCACCAGGACCCCCACCAGCTGCAGGGAGAGAAGAGCCACACGCTGAGCTCCCTGCAGTGGGTTGAGGCCTCTTTGGGGCTCCCTAAGTGGATTAAGAAAGCAGTAAGGTGGCATTGCACATCTGCATCCTAGCACCTGGGGAGGCTGAGGCAGGAGAATCTCAATGTTGGCCCCGCTGGATCTACTTGTCACTCAGAGGTCCTGTCCTTCCCCTGAGCTTGTCTGAGTATCAGCGACTCTGGAGTCACCCAGCCTCAGGGGACCATGGGAGAAAGCAGGCACTGTTCGTGGGTCCTGATTGCCACAGACGCAGCGGGAGGTGGGACCCTGGGGCCCCAGCATGTGTACTGTCCGCGTGGTTTGAATTCTGTGCCCTCTGTGTGTTTATTCCTGCGCCAGGCTCCTCTCCCTTACAGCAGAGCACCGGTACACATTGTGAAGGGCAACCTGCTCTTCCCTGATCCCCAAGGCTGCACTAGCGAGCTCATGTGTGAGCGGGAAGCTGTGGGTCGGGCCGGGGCCTTAGAAGGCAGCAAGTGGCTGCAGCAACCAAGATCCCAAGCGTCCAACCTGAGGGCAGCCCTGGCCCCTGCTCTGAGCCCCTGAACCCCTGGGTTAATGAGGTAGTAGTTTATGAGAGGCCATGCATCCTTTCTGACCCCCGGAGGACACGCTGGAGGTGAGGTTCCCACTCCCCATGCAGTTGGGAACTCGGCCCGTACTTAACAAACCACGGCTATTCCTTCCATGACCGTGGAGCAGCAGGTGGCCCCCAAGCTCAGTGACCAAAGCCACACTGCAATGGATTTGGGGACCAGGACCCAGGATGGGGCCTCCTGGAGACATCTGCTCTTTTCCCATCCAAGAGGCAGGCTGCCATGCAGCTGGACCGGGATGGATGCAGCTAGGGGGACTCCTACCACGGCTGTGGAGGTGCTGGAGGCTGAGTCTCGCACCCACACCCGGGGACAGCAGGACATCGCCACGTCCAGGAGACCAGGGAGAGAAATGCATTTCAGCATCCAGAGGAACAAGAGCAGTCCCTGGAGGCACCGAGCCCTCTGTAACAGGAAAACAGAGCAGGTCAGAATGACGGCAAAGGACACAAGGCGTGGGGACTTCAGGACATCTGAGCTCATGTGTGGTGAATGCCCAGATTTGATGGCGTTTTGTGGACTGTGACCTCTGCCCTGGGGGCCACGGAGCCCGATGTTTGCAGGGAGGACAGTTCAGAGCCCCAGCCCTCGGCTGCTTCTACAAGACCTGCACAACAGGCCTATGGCCTCGCAGGATGCCAGGCCCACTGCCACACAGCCCTGTAGCTGATCATATACAGTGTTTAGACGTGGCTTGGGGTGCACTGGCCATTTCAGGCTGGCGCCCCTTGGAAGCCAGCTGAGTCTGGGGAATGCAGATCAAAACAAGTCTGAAATTCCGTCTTACTCCAGCCAGGACAGCTGTCATCGGGAACCCACAAAATGCCAATGCTGGCAAAGACATGGGCAAAAGAAGCCCTCGTATATTGTTGGTGTTCAGACCTTGAGGGAGAGCAGCATGGAGGGTCCTCATGAAGCTAAATGGGGAAATCCCACTGGACCTAGCTGTATTCTCCTGGGCATGTGCCCCATGCGTTCCAGGTTTACTGCAGCACGACTCAGAAGAGCCACCTCTGGAGGCCCTGGTGGCCCTCAACACAGGAATGCAGGAAGAAGAGTGGCGTCCAGGATGGAACCGCGTGATTTGCAGGGGAACAGCGGGACCCCGAGACCATGATGCTACACGGAAAGTTTAGTATTAATGGTTTCTCCAATGTGAGAAGCCAAAATATAAACAAAGAGCAAAACAGAGGGCAGAAGTTGGAAACGGGGGCAGACTTGAGGGGACGGGGATCCTTCCCTTAAGGAGAGGGGTGGGGAGACTAGAAGGAGTCACAGACGGCTGAGCTATGATTTCCACAGCGACTGATTCTCCAGAGCCAGTGTCACTGCCTGTACTGCAAACGTATGTGGCTTTACCCGGAGGAGGAACTGGGGATCAGCCCAGGCTGTGCAGGACCCCCAGGGAGTGAGTGTTGTGGGTACAGGGAGGTTCAGAGGGGGTGCTGGCCCACGGGACGCATCAGAAGACCCTTGCTAAGCGTCACCAGGTGCGGTGCTCAGAATGATTCCTGCGTGTCCCGTGCCCCACCACAGGTAGGGCTCTGCCCAGTGTCCTGGGCCTCCTAGACCACTAGGTGGACAACCTCCCGGCAGTGCAGGGTGCAGGTGAAGGAGTCTGGGGCAGGACTGAGGCTGGACTTCACCCACTGCGACGCCCACCTGTCCCCAGCCCCAGCCGTCACACCTGAGCCACTGTGCGGGGCCCCAGGTGGCCCAGGCTCAGGTTGGCTCTGCTCAGGACTACACTGTGGGCCTTGGCTTCCTGCTGGGGCCCATCACCTCCTCACCCAGTTCCACAGTGCCATGGGGCGCAGGTCCAGAGCTGCCCGGCACGGTCCCTGGCGGATCTGGTCAGCGAGATCTGCAGCAAGACCAGCGAGGATCCCGGTGGCCACATAGTAGGCGAGGGCCATGCTCACTGTGGGCAGCTGTGACACAGAGGAGAGACGCTGCCCAGGAGGCCCAGCGGGCGCCCAGGACAACTACAGGAACCCCAGGCGGCTGTCAGAGCTCCAGCACCACCCCAGGAGGACATGTGGCTGGCGGGCAGCGCTGTAGCTAGCATTATTTCTTTTCAGATAGAGACATTGTTTTCCCAGGATGGGGAGTGGAGCCCAGGGCCTTGGCACTGCACTGTGTCCCCAGCCCTCTTTTAGTATTTATTTTGAGACAGGTTCTTGCTGAGTGACATGGCCCAGGCTGGGCTCCAGCTTGTGACTCTCCTGCCTCAGCCTCCCAGAGTGCTGGGGTGATGACAGCCTGCATCTCCAGGCCCCGATGCTTTGCTACGAAAAAGACCAAAAAAAAAAAAAAAAAAAGAAAGTGAGCTCAGGTCCTACCTCCAGCCAGTTTCGTGGTTTTCGCCAGTAGCAGAGGGCGCCCCCCTCAGCCATCTCGTAGAGCTGCAGACTGAGGTGAGCCAAGCTGAGGACCAGGAAGGCCAGCTGGTGGACACGGGTGGGCGGCAGAAACAGAATTTCAGACAAACCATTCGGAGAGTCCTGCGGCTTCCTGACAGGCCCCTTAGCTGACCCTTATGGGCCACTTCCTGCTCTGCTGGATCTGAGGATGCACTCGCCCTGCCCCGTGCCCACAGTCCTGCACATTGTGTGCAGGAAACTCTCCGGAGCCCAGCTCTACGCTGCGCACTGAGGCCTCATGGCCCACAGCCTCCAGCTACGCACAGGGGCGCTCAGCCCGTGGGAGCTCGGGCTCATGGGTTTCATCTCCCACACATTTGATATCTCGGCCAAGCAGAGCCTTTAAAAGCTTCTGTAGTCAAGATTTCTTCATTTTTTCAAGTACTGGGTACTGAACTCAGGCCTTTCACACTGTGCTACGCCCCAGGCCTTTCTTTTTTGTTTTGAGGGTTTAAGTTGCCCAGGAACTGAAGTGAGTTTTCAGAAGAACACAGATGACCAATAAATACATAAAAAATGTTCACGACCTCTGGCCACCAAGGAAAGGCAAATTAAAACACCACTGAGATTTCACCCTTCTCCACAAAGAATGGCAGTCACAAAAAGCTCAGTAACACGTGTGTAGGCACACACATGTGATTGTGTGTACGCAGGACGGGTAACTACACTACCAGTCTTTGCCAGCTCATAGGGAAGTCTGATCGTTTTTTGTGCCTAGATCTGGTAACCTGAACAACTAGTTCTAAGATAACAATATGCAATATATTAACAAATGTTAATTTTCTACTATGGTTTTGAAATTCTGTATCATTCTTATCTTTTTCTTCTGTTTTGCTTTTCAAAATAAAATTAAAAAATAAATCAATAAAATGTGCAGGAAATGCTGTAATCCCACCCCCAAAAAGCAACTGGTGATGACAAATGCCGACGAGGCCCTGGGGAAGAGGAAGCCCTTCTGCCTCATTGTTGGAGTGTAAACTTGTATGGTTGCTATGGAAACCAGTGTGGAGATTCCTCAAATAAAACCTCCCCTTCTGCTGTCTTCCTGAGAGCACTGAGAGTAGCACATTGCAGTGATCCATGTGTGCCCATGTTTACAGCAGCACAGTTTACAGTGGCAGCTCGGAGCTCTGGTGGCCCCCTCTGCACCCCTGCAGGAAAGCGAATGTGACCCTGAGTGTGACCTTGAGTGACCAGGTTCTTCCTGCAGAGGTGCTCAGTGAGCCTTGAACCTGGCAGGGTCACAGGGACCTGAGGTGACTTGTGGGGCTTCTGATGCTCTTGGAGGTGCATGAGCTGCCCTGTCACCCACCAACAGGTACCAGCGGGGAGACTGAAGCCACGTCCTGTGTCCCTGTGTGCAGCTACCTGAAGGAGGTGACTCAGAAGAAGGGACTAGGGGAACTGAGGGCGAGGGGTCCTGACGTGGAAACACCTGAAAGCCCGTATGGTCCCCTTGTCCTCGGCTGCAAAGGGCCTCACTTGAGGACACGGAAGGGACAGTGGCCATGACCCTAGGGGACAGTGGATCCTCACACTAACCTGACCTTCTGGGAGCCTTGATCTTGGACCTTCGGCCTCCAGAACAGGGTCAGACAGACGCCATTCTCAAAGCCACCAGCCAGAAGACAGCCACTGACCCCACCTACGATAGGGCTACCTGATCAATGAGAGACAGTAAGAGACCACCACAACCTGGGCTTGGGGTGCATGCCATGACCCCAGCCCTGAGGGAGGCCGGAGCTGAGGATCTGAGTCTGAACCCAGCCGGGGTAACTCGGCAACTCAGAAAGGCCCTGGATTCAATTTCTAGTACTGAAAAAAAACTATAACAACTAGCAATAAAGTAGAACAATGATAACCATGTGCTGTGACAGTTATTTACAGCTGTGTGAAATGTTTGTTTCTAGAATTCCCCATCTGACATCTGTGAAGCCCCCGAAGTGGTGTGGCTGGATTTCAGGTGACAGCCAAAGCCCACAAAGATGCCGGAGTGTGCTCTCTGATGTCACCAGTTCTCCTGCAGCCCACATGGCACCAGGAGAAAGCTCTATGCTGTCACTCCCAGGGGACACCTGGTACAGAGCCAGGGGGTGACGGGAGGTGACATCCACAGTGGTGGAGTGGCCAGCAGACTCCCACATGGGAGTGCCCAGGGGGAGCCCCGAGTCCCCGCATCACACTCACCTCAGGGATTGTGCGGTGGTACCAGGTGGTGGAGCCGCCTCGGAAGACCCTGAAGGACTCCACCCAGGCTGAGGGCACCGGCCGCCCAACGGGTGGGGTGTTTGCGCTCAGGGTTATGCTGGTGAAGAGCTGGGTGGCGGGATGGTAGAGGGCGAGGTGCACAGTCTCGGCCCTGGTGCTGCTGTCCAGCCAGCCGCTGGCCCTCAGAGCGGTCAGCACCATGTAGGCCTCGAGCCTGCAGGGAGCCCATTCTCAGGGGGTCAGGAGAGGCTGTGGGATTCCTGGCAAGCTCCGCACAACCCAGAAGGACACCAGAAGTGAGCCTCCATTGGGCAAGGGCACCCTCTGCCTCCAGGACACGCAAGGGTCCTGTGCCTCCTTCCTTGCTCTGCTGTCCTTGTGGCAGCAGAGGCCTAATGGGCAGACGGAGGCCGGGCCATGAAGAAGGCTGCCCAGCCCGCCCCAGCCTCGGGGCCGCGCGCTTTCCCCTTGGGGCAGTGGAAACCGTGTCTTCCTAACCCACATTTCACACCATCGTGTCCTTGTTACTATTTTCTGTGTCCCTAGAGTCTGCACAGACGCCCTGCTGCTGTGAGCAGAGACTCTGCAGCAGCAGGCGCCCAGTGGACAGGACAAGACGGCCAGGTCACCTGACCCAGGCCTGGCACCATTTGCTACTTCCTGGTGGAAGCCTCCACCCCAGCTCCTGAAGGCCACAGCCAGCAACGGACAGACGTCCCTGCCCCTTGTGCCATCAGTGACTGTGTGGCCACTGTCCTCCGGCTGAGGGCCTGCCACTCTCCTGGCCCTGACGTGCAGGACACTTCTGTCATCTCACGGGACCTGCATGTCCTGCTCAGCCTGGCTGTGACCTGTCCCCTCCCATGCCAGCTACACATCACTACCCCCAGTCCCTGGCTTGGCGCTGCCCAGTGGGTCCAGGTGGGCCAGTGCTGCCCCTACCTCACAGACTTGATTTGACCCAGGCCAGGCCGGTTGGCTTCCTTCCTCACCCTGCAGCTTCGGGGGCCACTGTGCGTCACATTCCGGTCCTCAAAGCCTTTAGCTTTGGGGCTCCATGGAGGACGGGAGTCTTCCGGGAGTGTGGGAGATGGCCAGAGAGGCTGGGGAACAAACCACAAGTCAGAGGACGTCACCTAGCCTTGCACCCTCCCAGGGCCACTCTGCACGCTGCATGAGTCCAGGCTCTGCTTGTGGGAGGCCAGCCCTGGACACCCTGCAGTTGCCCCATCCTGGGATTCAAGGACTGGTCTGTCTGGGGCACCCAGCCTGCCAGAGGAGAAGCGGGGGTGTCCGACCTCCTGCTTTGCCCTGGATCCCCAGGGATCTTACAGCCACACAGTGAACAGGACAAAGCCACAGCCAGGGTCAGGGCCAAGCCCAGGACAGGTGCTTGGAACAGGGAGAAAGAAAGACCTGTGGTGCGCAACCTCAAATGGCCCCCCGTCCTCCAGGAAGCTAGCATGACCTGCGGGTTTCCTGCCCCACTGTCTCCCAGGCATTACTAACTTGATAACTTGATTTATTTCAAAAGCAGGAACAGGGCAGGCCTGGTGGTGCACACCTGTGATCCAGGAACCAGGGAGGCTGAGGCAGGAGGATTGCTGAGACCTCAGAACCAGCCTGCCCTATGCAGTGAGTTCAAGTCCTGCCTGAACTACACAGTGAGACCCTGCCTCAGAGAAAGAGCGCGCATACCTCGTGTAAACTTCCCGGGGTGCTGGTCAGTTGCGTAGTCACCAAAGCACCTAGCAGGTAGTACTGTCCTTCTAGAGCTCCTGGCTGGGAGAAGATGACTGGCTCATTGGGGGCGCTGGGCGGCGCGTGGGGTGACCGCACCCACTGAACCTGAGTCCGGAAGCCAGGCCAAGGGTGCAGCCGACTTCCTAGGACCCAGGGCCTGCCTTGAGCGCAGCCTGCCCCCAGCACCCGGTGTCAAATGACGCCTCCCCAGGCTGCCACCCGAGGAGACACAGAGAAGCGAAGCGCAGGGTTCGGGAGGTGGGGTGCGGGATTCACCCACCTGAGCCCCGGCTGCCCTGGCCACAGAGGGGCCTCCTGCGTGCAGCCCGTCCCGCAGCGAGCTCGGCCTCCGGCTGCCCCCATCCCCGGCACCTGGCGAGAACCTGATCCTGTATCACCCAAGACAAAACAAACGCCCGTGGTCAGGGACGAGGGACAACAGAGGATCTCGCTTGTCTAAACTTCAGGCACTTTGCAAGAATGAAACTAAACCCATCTCCAACGTGAGGTGCAGCCCGAGAATTCACTGTGCCCCTCACTGGCCAGAGAGAAGGAACAAGAGTGGGAAAAGCACTCGTTCTCTCGCTTGCTCAATCAACAAACGTCACCATGCGAGGGCTGAGACCCCTGGCACGAGGAAACGGAGAATCAAGTCTTCCGCCTGGGCGGGGAAGCAAATAACCAACCCACTACACAAGGGGTCCTCAACCTCGGGGCTGTCCGCGGCTTTGCCAAGCAGGCCTGGGGGCAAAGCTGGCGCTGTGGTTCACATCTCCGTGGTGCCCAAAGCCCCAGGAACTAAGGGGCAGGTGTGAGAGGCACGTGGGAGGATTAATCTGCTGAAGGAGGACGCTGGTGTGCGGGCCGGAGGGCTCATTTCCCTCCCTGGCTCCTCCCTTCTCTCTGCACTTCCCGGGCGCAGTGACCTGAGCAGCATTGCCCACAGGCCCCTGTGCGCTGCCCTTTGGGCGTGGAGCTGTCCATGCGCTCAAAGCGTGCAGCAGGACAAACCTCTCCTCTAAGTGGTGTGCTGGTATAGTGGCCTAGTCATGAGAAAGAGACCGGGACGGTTGGTCTGCAGAGGTTGGAAGGCCCAGCCCAGCCCAGCCTGGGAGCTATCCAGGGCCTCTGGTCCCTCGGACTCTGCCTACACCCAGGGAACAGGAACCTCCCCGGGGAAGCTGGCAGCACATGCTGGGCGTCAGAGCATCCGTCCCCACGCACAGATGGGATGCTTGCTGCTCCCCAGCAAACGGCCCGGGTGGGAGCAGCTGTTCGAGATAACTTAGAAAAAGGGTTTAAAGCCTTTACAGATAGCCCAGCATGATGGTGCACGCCTAAAATCACAGCATTCTGAGAGGCTGAGGCAAGAAGATCACCGAGCCACACATTCACACATTCAGCATGGGGCAATTTACCAAGATCTTGACCCTAAATAAAAATAAAAAAGGACTGGGCCTGTAGCTCAGTGGGAAGGCCCGGGGCTCCATCCCCAGGACTGGAAACCACCACATCTTTACAGGCCTGCCAAAGCTAGAGAATGCAAAAGAAAAAGAAATCAAGGACAAAGAAAGGTGGTAATATACAAGTTAATAGATGCAGACACCTCAGTCAACTTATGAAGAACTTCAATGTGGCTAGAACATGTCCACAGCACCCGGGAGTGAATAACAGTCTGTGGGCCGATTTATCTGGCTGGCTCGACTTCCTCTTCCTGTAGAGCGCTTTTCTCCCGAGCATTCAGGAATCTGCTCGCTGTAGGCTTTGTATTTTTAGCACCTCATCTATGCAGGCTGCTGCTGGAAGCTGGCGTCCTTCGAATCCCAGCGGGGTAGCATGGGAGATGCGGGGGAGGGGGGGAGTGGAGCCCTGCTCAGGTGTCCAGAAAATGGGATGAGGAAACTGAGGCATGGGGCAGGGGAGGGGGCACATGGGGTAAGCACAGAGTAAGCGGAAATCCCTCCTTGGAGGGAAGGGTGACAGGAGAGAGGGAGGGAGAGGAGACTTCGCTTCCCACCGGGAGAAGTGTTAGTACCTGCTCTCTGGAGCGAGATGATTTGACAGAAAAGCTGATTTTACATTATGGCTTATGGTGCTCCACTGTATGTATTTTAAAAAATATTTTAGCCACATTGGGCTTGCACAATCAATAGTGTGTGCGTGCCCTGCATGCATGTGTTGTATGCACATGTGTGTGTACCTGCATGTGTGGTGCTCTGTGTACCGCAGGCTGGTGCTCTAACCACCGAGCTGCACTCCCCACCCACATTCACGCAGCTTCTGGAGAAAGGTTTGCCCTTCCTGCACCTGCCACCTGCCTGCGGGGAGTGACAGGAGGGAAAGTCAGGAAGGACAGGTGGGACCCAGGTCCCGTGCCCAGAGGCAGCACAGCCCTCTCTCTCCAGGAGAATCCTGGCCTGTGCTAATTACAGCAATTACACAAATCAGGGCCGGAGGCTGAGGCTGCCAAGCCAGAGCCGAGATAAAAATCAGCACTTCTTTTCCATGGGTGCGGCTTGGAGAGCCTCTTTCATTCACTGGAGCTTCATTCTATAGTTTATTTTGGTTTTGTTTGACCTGGAATTTCAAGGAGCTTTTAACTGAGTTCAGAAACACTTCAAGCACAATTCAAACAGGACAGGCTCCAGTACTGGGGTGACCTCCGGTGAAGATGCAGAAATCCTGTGGCACAACTCTCTGCTCCACAGAAATTCCGCAGCTCAGAGCCAAAGGAGCCCAGGCCCTGGGCCCCTTTCTACCCATCTCCTCTGCAGGGCAGGGCTCAGCCCCTCTCTCTAGATGCTACCGACCAACGCTTCAGGAGCTGCCGACCTTTCAGGGTTAGGGACTGGGGGTTTGGGGGAGCAATGGGAGCCCACTCTAAACACCCCATTAGGAACCAGGACACATGAACACCTCTCTACCAGGCACAGGGGTGTGTGCCTATAACCCCAGCACTCAGGGATGCTGAGGCAGGAGGATTGTACATTTGAGCTTAGCCTGGGCAATTTAGCAACTTGGTGATATTCGGCCTCCAAAGTTTAAAAAGGGCCGGAGAGGTAGGTCAGTGCAAAGCTCTGGGTTTGCTCCTCAGTACCACAAAACAAAACAAAGCAAAGCAAAGCAAGCTACACCCCTGGCTGTTGGTCACGGCACCCAGAATTGGTGTGGATTTGTGCCCTTGTGGGAAGGAAGCCTAAGGTTTCTGCAGTGCGGAACTGGAGTGGTTCCTTGAAGCCCACCTAAGGGTCTATGACTGGTAAGATCTCACAAGCATTATCTCAGCTGCCACATTTTTTGAGTATCAAGATGCATCGATTCCCAAGAGAAATGTCACATCGTGGTGACTATGAAATGTGAGGTATCACCATCACCACCACCACCACCACCACCGTCATCACCATCACCACCACCACCACCATCATCACTACCATCATCATCAGCTAAACCAGGCTTTCAGGCTCCTTTCCATTCCCAGGCACCGTGGCCCAAATTGTCTTTGTTTTGCCCACAGCTCCACCTACTGGTGAAATCTGTGCAGTTGCCAGGGTTGAAGTGTTCTCCAGAAATAATAGCCTTTAAAATACTCTTTGGAGAAAGACAGTAAAACCCTGAGACACCGAATTACTTCACCTTTTGTCACTGAAAACACATAAATGACTGACATCAATTCCTACTGTGAGCTTCAGAGTTCAAAGCCAAGCTGCCCTGAAAGAATTATCAGGGCATTTTCCACAGGTGAAATAAAAGTCTGACTGGTTTTGACGATGACTTTTGTCAGCCTGGCAGTGCACAGCTGTAATCCCAGCACTGGGGAGGCTGAGGCAGGAGGATCCTTTTGAATTCAAGACCAGCCTGGACTACATCATGGGACCTTGTCTCAAGAAAACCAAAAAACCCAAACCAAACCTAACTGCTCCCCCAAACTCAATAGTAAGAAAGGATGGAGATTTCACAGACACCGGGACGCAGGAAGGAATACGGCCTGGCAGACGCTGCCCTGTCTGCTTCTGCCTGGGTGGCATGGAGCCTTCCTGCTTTGTGCTTTCTGGCCCCATGTCCACTGTGAGGAAACGCTACCACTTTAAAGGAGAGAGAAGCAAACCAGTGCCTGTAACATGGCCGGGCTCTGGGGGAGTGGGTGGGTGGTGGACGCTGGGGTTACCTGTTGTGAAGCCCAGCCGTGGCCTCTGGGTGAAGAACGCTGATGTTCCTGCAGAAAGGAATCTATGAGAGGCTACTTTGGTCTGGGTCCTCAAGTGCCCAGGAAATCTTCACCCCAAATAAGATGTAGGAACAGGCCCAAGCCTGTGAGTAGACTCTGTGTGTGTGTGTGTGTGTGTGTGTGTGTGTGTGTATGTGTGTGGTAGGGGGGATTGAACCCAAGGAATTTGCGTTAAGCTACATCATCACCCGCTTTTACATTTCATTTTCATTTTTATTTTGAGACAGGGTCTCTGTCCAAAAATTGCAGCCTGAACTTATCCTCCTGCCTCAGCCTCCCGGAGTGCAGGGGTAACAGGTGTGCGTCTCCACACCTGGCTGAAGCCTCCCATTAACACTGGGGAAATAGCATCTGCCAAGTCACCATGGCAGCCGCTTCCAGATTTCACAGTGGGATGTGGCAAAGACCCTCGTCTGGGCCTCCTCCTGGTGAGGTGCAACCCAGGAGGGGCCTATCGGGTAGGTGGGTCCCCTGCTGAGACAGACAGGACCCAGGCAAGGTCACCGAAGGAAGGACTCCCGAGCCCTGCTTCCCTTGGGGTCGTCTTGGCCAGGAATAGGGGGAGCGTTTGCAGTCCTGGAGGCGCCCCAGGTCTCCTACCTCTGCAGTTCCTTCCGGAGAGCCCGGCTGAGGGAATGTGCGTCCTCGGAGAAGGTCACATAAGTCAGCCACAAGAGCAGCAGCAGCGACAGGACGTGCACAGCGATGTCCCTGGGAAGAGATGGCAGCCTTGGCATCCCCCAGGATGCAGCGGGACGGTCCTGAGGGAGCCAGGCTTTCCCATCCCCGAGCGGGGCTTGGTACCAGGCGCGAGGAGCACTGCGGCTGCTTCCCCTCCTTGTTCTTTTTGCAGGGACTCCCTGTCTTCCCCTCTCCCACCACTTCTGAAGAAGACCGGTCTCTCTTGTCCAGCTGTCTTTGCCGTGAAAGCCGCTCACGCACAGTTGCGAGTGTCTGTCTCCGGGCGCTCTGCTCTGCACATTGATCTCTGCGGTCTATGTGGTCCACAGATGGCACAGGGTCGTGGTTTCCGTGGCTTCCTGTCACATCCGAGGCCCGACGGGGTCAGCTCTCCGACACTGCCCCGTTGTGGCTGCTGCGGGCCTTTCTTTGTTCTCCACAGCCCTCTTCAAGTCGGTTGTCAGCAGCTGTGTGTAAGCGCGGGCAGGATTTGGGCTGTGACCGCTGTGCATCTCTCCACTGACTTACGTCTCCTTCAGTTTCTTTCACTAGGGTGGTGTAGGCGCAGCACACAGATTCTGCCTGTTTCTTGAAATTCCTATCTAAGTCCTTCATTTCTTGGGTGCCATGGTAGATGATATTTTAAAATTTCAACTACTTATTGTCGATATAAGGAACAGAGTTTATACTGACTTGGAACCTGTAAAAATGCTAAACTCAATTTTCTTTTCCTTTTTTTCCTTCCTTCCTTCCTTCCTTCCTTCCTTTATTTATTTAGTGGCTACTGGGAATCGAACTCAGGACCCTACACTTGCCAGGCAGGTGCTGTGCCGCTGAGCTACATCCCCAGCCACGTAGCAGTTTTTAAAGGCTTTCGGTACATTATTTGGAACTTACTCTGTGGCCATGTCATCTGTTAGCAGATGGTCCTATTTCTCCCTTTCAAATGTGTGTTCTTATTTCTTTTTCTTGCCAACCCCACTTGCCGGGTCGTCCACTGCTAGGCGCTCTACGGCTTCTTTGGTGCTGATCTCCACGATGATGGGCGTGCGGGGTTTTCAGGGACTCCACTGTTAGCACGGGAGCTCAGCTCTCCAGCTCTCATTTGCTGACTTGGGAAGTTTCCTTTTCCATGAAGGAATGTTTGATTCCACTGATCGTCCTGGGCGTGTCTAAACTAATCCTGCGGATTTCCATGCCGAGGACACCGACACGGCCAAGCTACAGCTCCAGACGCTGGGCTCTCCTCCTTTCTTCCCTCTGGCTGCTCTGCTCTGCTCTGCTTGTGTGGAAGTTGGCGCTTGCAGCTGCAGATCTCTCAGTGTTGCTCCCTCGCACCATGTAATGTGTTTCGAACTTGCTAGCTGCAGCACGAGCTGTCCTTGCCTTTCCCTAAGATGATGCCCCAGGTCCGCGCTCCCAAATCCAGTTTCCTCCCCTGCATCTCACACGCCGGGGCCGCGGGGTGACGTATGGGAGAAGAGCCTTCCACACCCCGACACGCTCACGGCAGCCAACAGAGGTTCCCGCACAGGCCCCAGAGCAGGCGGGGCCCCTGCACCCACACCCACCTGAGGGCCAGGTGCGCATGCCACTCTCTGCGCGTCCTCTCCCTGACGGCCCTCAGCTGGGCTCTGTGTGGTGGCTGTGCCCGGCGCAAGCGTCGCTCTCGTTGCCGGGCAGCCAGGACCTGTGGACAACGTGCCTTGAGCCTCGAGGCTCCTGCCACACCCGGCTTGCGTCTTGCATGGTGTTCAGGACACAGGGTGTTGGGGAGGGACAGTCCCCGGGCAATGTGTCACAGGCAAGCACTCTGGCAGGAAGTGAGGCTACCAGGGGCCAGGGCGCAGCTGGTGAAGGAGCCCAGCAGTTATCTCTGGTATCTGTGTGGTTTCGGAAGATCTTCAAAGTCTGGGGGGCCACTCTGAAGTACGGTATGGACTTAGGGAAAAATGATCCTCCCACTTTTTAAAGTATCATTGTGATCAGGCTGAGTGTTCACATGTCTATAATCTGGGAGGCTGAGACAGGAGCATCACAAATTGAAGTCCGGCCTGGGACAACTTAGTGACTTCATAAGATTGAGTCTCAAAATAAAATAAAAAAGGGCTGAGGACACAGTTCAGTGCAAAGGCCCTGCGGTCCAGGATGGCCCAAGAATGCATATGGCTTCACACGGCATCTGCTAACGCTCAGGGGGTAACCACAGCCAAACAAGCCCATCAGAAACATGAATTCACTCATTTCCCAGTTGTGTGTTTGCTCATTCAATACACATTTGGGGCGAAGCCTGGGGAAATCTGAGCAGTCAGAGGTCAGGAGGTTTGGAAGGAAGGAAGGAGAAAAGGAAAGAAGGGAAGAGGGGCGGAAGTGGTGAATTCTGGAGTCCACACAAACAAACAGCCTAAATTTCTCCAAAGTCCAGGCCAGGAGCTCTGTCTCTCATTTGCATTGGTATCTTAAAATGAGCCTTTTTTCCTTTTTTAAGTTCGGAGGCTCCGATTTCACTCAGGCTGGGAGTAGGCTTGTGCACTTGACTCTCACCCCGAGTGTGTCAGGCACACAGCAGGGAGCTTGTGCCCGGGGTCTCCCATGCCCCCAGCCCACACGCAGCCTCTGCGGGACACAGGATGCCTCCCGCAGGGCTCCCCACCCCAGTGTCTCACCTCCTCGAGCCCCACCGTGCAGTCTGTAGCGCAGGGGCCTGGAGAAGCCAGGATGCGAGGTCCTGGTCCCTGTCCCAGATACTCTTCCTGCCCCGAGCCCAGGTGCCTGGTGGCTTCGTGTACAGACGCAGCAAAGCACTGGCTGTCTCCTCTCCTTGCCCAAGAGAAGCACAGTGCGGCACAGCAGATCTGGGGGAGGGGAGACCCAGGCCGAGGGTGACCCTTCCTCATGGCCACTTGCCCGTCCGGCTGCCTTGGTCTCCCCCTCCCACCCCGGTACCGACACCAGGGGCTGCTTCCCCCGTGGCCCGGCCACTCAGCAGCGGCTACTGCCTCCCTCATCAGACTCGCAAACTCGAGGCTTGATCCCTCAGCTGAAAACTGGCGGTGAGAGGGGTCTGCTCCTTACATCCCCCTAGTCCATCCTGGCCACTGAACCCAGGGCCTCTGCACCGAGCTCCACCCCTAGCCTTTTGACATTTTAAATTGTGAGGCAGAGTCTTCCTGTGTTCCTAAACTGCCCAGGCTGCACTTGATCTTGAGATTCTCCTGCCGCAGCCTCCCAGAGTGCTGGACCACAAGTGTGCACCACCACACCTGGTTTTGAGGCTTTTTCATGAGGACCTAACTAGCACACAGCTGATTCTCACCAGGAGCGGCTGGGTGACAAAGGCACAGAAGACCACGGACAGTGACAACAGCAGCAGCCACCCCATATTCTGCACTGGAAGGAACCTGCGGGGAGGACGGGAGAGGCCATGGGGCCAAACCTGCCCCTCAGCGTGGCTCCCGGCCCCCATCATCTCTGGGAGACCCTGGCAGGAAGTGGGGCCGGGCGCACAGGTGGAGAGGGAGGCATGATGGTCACCATGGTGATAAGAGAGGCAGGACCGGAAGCTGGTGTCAGGGTCACTGGGTGTGTGGGGGCACATGGGTGGCAGAGTAGCAGGAGTGGGCGTGACTGGAGCTTCCTCTGCTCCCGAGCCCTGTGGATCCGCGTCCATGGACACATGGTGGAGGCACGGAGGCCACTGGGCACCTGCAGTCAGCAGGAAGGAGCCGGCAACGGAGCCTTGGAGATGCTGCATCTCCCCGTGGCCTGGGGACAGCTGGGTCCCCAAGCCCTGCACTGCAGGGCTGTGCTCCTGAAGCCATTGCCTCCTGGGGCGGCTTGGTACCCAGGACTCATGCAGGCCGGGTGGTGGGTGCTGACCCTTGGGGTTGGCCCAGGGCACCATTACTCCAGGAGGCAGCGGGGATGAAAGAGAAAACAGTGACGGTGATACCGGTGCTGGAGGAGACCCGAAACCACTGCCATGCACCTGTAGCCCAGAAAGCCTGTCCCCAGTCCGCTGGCCAGGGACACCAAGCCGCAGATGGTCCAGGCTGCTGCTCTTGGCCACGGTGGACGAGCCCTGTGCCCCAGGGCTACGAGTCCTTCACGGCTGTGGCTGGGGGCTGCGGGACAGCAGGATGGACGGGTGTTAAGAAATCTGGGTCTCCTGTGAGGTTAGGACCTGGCTGGGATTGGGGAGTTCTGGCCCCACAGAGCTCACCCCACACACAGCAGTGTCACCTTGGGAACCCAGAGGTCCATGGCGGCTCTGGCTGCCCACCCTGCCGGCCTCCTGCTCCAGGGCTGTGTTGCTCCCAGAGTCCATGGCTGCTGCAGGCTGCTGGAAGGACAAGGTTAGGCTGGGTTCAGTGCCCAGGTGGTCATCTGTGTCCTTGATGGTTGCCTGGGGGACAGGAATGGCGGGGTGGGGAGTGAGGAGGGAGGACAAATGTCAGACCCGGAGCCAATCCACAGGCTGTGGGCTCTGCACACATGGGGACAAGGCTGGTGGCCAGATGGGGGCTGCTCAGCCAGGGAATAAAGGGGACTCAGCCAGGAGAAGCAACGGCTGCATGGGGGCCCATGGTGGAGGCCGGGGCAGCCCAGTGCTGGGGCGGGGGGGGGGCTGGACAGGGCACTCCGAGGAGGAGCCGGAAAGAAAGCCCAGTGATCCTGGGTGCCACAGGGAAGGGCACCATCACTAGATCCCAAACCAAACTCCCCAGGACGCCGCTACCCAACATCGGAGACCTTGGAGCTCCAGAGCTGCAGGGCCCAGGAGACTGGACCCTAAGAGGACTCTGGGGGGGTCCCTGAAAACCTTCCTGCAACCCCTTCCTGCCTCCTGCCTCCACCAACTCCTCCGTGGGACCACCCGCCCATGGTGCACACCCTTGGAAATGGGCCTTCTACCTGGAGAATAGGCGGACGCACAGCAGGGTTGGCCTGGACCCTTTCCTCACCCTCCCCCCCATGAAGGACCCTGGCCACTGGACAGGACACAGATCCAGTGGCCAGCATTTCATGCTATAGAGTGGCCGCTGCCCCGAGCTACCAGTTACCTTGGAGGGTGCCTGGATGGCCGGCATCCTTCCCTGGGAATTAGGACCTGATTAGAAAACAAGAAAAAAGAAAGCCAGGTAGGTGACACACACCTGTGATCTAAGGGAAGCTGAGGCAGAAGGATCATCTTGAGTCTGAGGCCAACCTGGCCTGCATAGCCCCGTGCACATCCTAGGGGCTGACATGGACCCAGCACCCAGGTAAAGGGCTTCACAGGGCCAGGGAGACTGAGGCAGAGGGACCGGGAGCCCCTGGAAAACAAGAGTGCAGATGGGCAGTACGCAGGGAGACCATGGCTGTGTGCTGCAAACATGCACTGCTAAGACAAGAACAAGAGGAGGAGGAGGAGGGGTGAGCGCAAGGGCCCTCGAGGATCCTGAGACGGCTGGGAGCTTCTGCCCTTCCACACGTTACCTGGAGGTGCCTCCATCTGTGTCCTCATCCTGGGAGGACCCTGTGGCTCGGCTGGGTGTTCCTCAGCTCCCTGCAGAATGGGGGCGCTGGTTAGAGGGGCGATGGAGGTGCTGCCTGCAGCCCGGGGCCCGAGCAGAAGGGTCACCCTCGGACCTGGCCATATCTGAAGAGCAGCAACAGGAGCTGAGCCACGCAGGAGGCAGTGAGGGCGCACAGCAGCCCCAGGCCAAGCGTTGCAAGGGTGAGGTCCGTGGGGCCAATGTCCAGTAGGAGCTGCGACAGAGTCACGGGGCGGCGGCGTCACCACAAGGAGCCCTTTCCGGCCCTGGGTGCTCTCACACAGATGCATGTGTAGAACCAAGCCCCCTTCCTGCCTCCCCAGGCTAAAGGAGCAGAGGAAATCACTGGGTTTCCGCCTGGGCAAATGCAAGCCTGCTTTTCAGAACGTGCAGCTGGGCTGATCCTTGCTGGGATCCAAGGAGGAGTCCCCTATGCCACTGGCAGAGGGGAGGGGACATGGCCCCAGACTCCACGGCTGTGCGCAGTGGCACCACAGCTTTTCCAGGTTCCGAGATTTCCCGAGTAGGGTGGTTCCTGTCTGCCACTTTATCGAATTTCTTTATCATCTTTTTATAAACTCTACCAACATGACATTCTTTTTTTTTTTTTTTCAACATGACATTCTTAAAAAAACATTCTGAGCAGGGTGCAGTGATGCACACCTATAATTCCAGCACCCTAGGAGGCTGAGGCAGGATGATTGCAAGTTCAGGTCCAGCAATTTAGGGAGACCTTGTCTCAAAATATAAAATAGAAAGAAGTCCCAGTGTGGCGACTGTGGGCTCAATCCCTAGCGCTGCCAAAAACAAAACAAAACAAAACAAAACAAAACAAAACAAAACAAAACAAATCTACAATGTCCCCACCCCCCACCCTTCTGACACCTGGCACCTTGCACAAAGCTGTGTCCTGCTGTCCTGTGATGGACTGGATCACTGAGTTCTGACTCTGAGACAGACCTGTTGCCACATTCTCCAGCTGCACAGGGACTCTTGATCCCAGGGGAGGCCATGGTGTACCTGAGAAACCAGTCTGCACCCTTTGCCCCTAAGGTCACCCCAGGGATGCTGGGACCTGGCCAAGTGCAGGCCCACACCCTGCCCTGCAGCCCTTGCTGCATCCTGGTGGCTTCAGCCCTTCTCTGGGCACAGCACTGTGGCACGGGGAGGAACCCACCTGGCCGTGTCCTCCCGCAGTGGCCAGGGCAGTGAGGCCCATGTGGGTGCACAGCAGACAGAAGCACACAGCCAGGTGCTGCATGCGTGGGGGGCCTCGGGAGCTGGGCGGGCTGCACAGCGACAGCCAGGTGTGGCTGCTCTCCAGGGACTCTGAGAACCTGGTGCAGAAGAGCTGGGACAGAAGCAGACATCGGGCAGGTCCCTGAGGTCAGGAGATCAGGTAGGGAACAGCCGGGACCCCCTTGCCTCTGGACTTCTCCGTCCTGGCTGGCCGGCCAGGTGACACACAGCCAGCAGGAGCAGGTGGCCACCCCACAAGGCCCCTCGCTGGCTCCTACTCCCCCCCACCTCCTTGGCTCCTTGCTATGTGCAGTCCCCCCACTCCTCCTGCCAGGCCTGACCCCCACACCCCTCCACCTTGGCTCCTTGCTGTGTGCGAACCCCCCACCCAACGCCTATATGGGGGAGCAAACCAGAGCTTTCACTCAGAGCTACATCCGGCCCTTGTCATTCCCTCTTCTGAGACAGTCTTGCAAAGTCTGAGTCACTGGGTTCCCCAGGCTGAACACAAGCTCCTGCCTCAGCCTCCAGAGGGGTTTCGGGTGTGCAGCATTGCAGTCAGACTTCCTCTTCCTCGAGCTCCCGAGAGGTCTCTCACCCATGTCCTTGGCGTCCAGCGCAATCTGCACGGCCCTGCGTGCACCACGAGGTGGCTGCCCCACCGCATCCGCCCCCACAGCAGGTCCTTTGCTGCCCCTAGGACCGCACTGAATTCTGAAAGTACCAGTACAGCTCAAGAACAGCAGGTGCTGCACATTGTTCTAGAAAACACTGATCTACTGATCCACGGTGTGGATGCTGGGAAAGCAGGTCGGGGAGAAGCAAGAGCCAGTAAACCAGTCTGCATGGGAGGAGAATGTGTGATCTGTGTGCAGATCAACAAGTGAGCTAGTTCCTGGGCACAGTCACACGGCTCACAAATAAAGGAGGAGCAAAGTGCAGGTTTCTCACCAAAACGGCTGGCCAGGGAGCAGTGGGGCTGCCCTGCTGTCACGGGTGAGGCGGGCTCTTATGTGGCAGAGATTGCACAGGGAAGTCCCAGGCAAAGCAGGCCTGCCTGCGGCTTTAGGTGCTAAAGGATTCTCAAAGGGGGGATCAGAGCATACAGTGTGTGCTAAAATATTTAAAACGTTTATTACAGTGAAAAAATACATTGTCACCAGTTTCCTCAAAACCCTACTTCTTGCTTCCAACATGTTATCCCATCGGGCTGGCCACTTTCTGCAGCAGCTCTGAAGTCCTCTTTCCTGAGGGTCTTTGTGAGGTGAGAGTGTAAACACAGTGAATGTCACCACCGAGCGCCGCCCAGTGGGTCCTCACCCACCTTATCTACTGGAGCGGGCACTGCGTGATTTCCAGTTCTCTTCCAAAGTCAAACTGACTGTGAAAAGCAAATGTTTGGAATCAGTCCAGGACATCGAGGCAGTCAGGACATGGCAGCTAGAGGCCCTCGGGAAAGAGGACTCCAGAGCCGCTGCCGAAAACAGCGAGAACCTGGGATGAGTGTGCTCAAGCAAGGGGGAGCCTGAGGGGACCCTGGCCATGGGTCTTGGTCTGTAACACATGGGTTAAAATTTAAGCTCTCACCCTATTTTCTGATCACACTTTGTGTATGCCGTGGCTGACCACAGACCCATGCTCCACTGGGCCCCATTTCTCACTGAGTTAGCAGTGTCACTCCTGAACACACCCCATCACAGACCCTGGTACTTCTCGTCACCTGGCAATGGGATGCGACATAGGATAGTTATGACCTTAGTGGGTTAGATCTGCACAAGGCACTGAAAAGCCTTTATACGGGAGCTTCTGAGGCCCTGAGCCTGTTTATTTTCGAAATGTCACTTCTGTTGCCCTCAGAGGGGGATGCAGTGCTGCAAAGGTAACGCATGTGAACAGCACGCATTGCTGCACCCGTGGGTATCTTGATGGTTAACCAGGAAAAGAGCGAAGCCTTCCTGGTACTGCAAGCTTGAAATCCCAGCACCCTGGGAAGCTGAGGCAGAAGGATCACAAGTTTAAGCCCAGTCTGGGCCAGTTAGTAATTTTGAGAGACCGTCTCAAAATAAAATAATGACAAGGGCTACGGATGCAGCTCGGTGCAAAAGCCCTGGGTTCATTACTGGGCAAAAGATGAAGACAGAAAAGACCAGGACCCTGGGTTTTAGGGGGGTGTGAAGACTCAGCTGTGGCCAGTCCAGCATCCTCAGTCACGGGGCGCGGGGGCACCGGGCACCCACCTTCCTGAAGCCGAGGCCTTGGCGCAGGCAGGGCAGCTCCCGCTCCACGCGGCCATCCCCCCGACCCGCTGCCAGCCAGCACCGCGCGGGGAAGAGCCAGGCTTGGCCGGAGTGCAGCTCCTTCACTATCACGCTGTCCAGGAGCCAGCTCGGGGCCGGCCCACTGCTGTCGTGCCAGAGGCGGACCCTCCGGAGTGGGCCCAGGTAGGCAGGGGCGCTGGGGACACCAAGAGCATCATGTCAGCCAGGCAGCACGGCGCAGGGCGGGTGGCAACTCGCCGACCCTGCACAGCCGCCCACGTGGTAACTTCTGGAAGGGACAGGCCATGCATTTCCAGGGCAGGACAAGGCTGTGGGTGCTCTGGGTGCTGCTGGTCACTGATCTTGTAGGGGCCCAGCTATGTGTGCTCAGGACACACAGCCAAGGGACAGAGCTCAGTGCTACCTTGTTCCCGGGGGTCTCGGGACACAGTACCGGTCATTAGAGTATCTACAGCTTGGGATCTCACGGCAGAATAACAACCTCTGTTATTGGCTTAGGGTTTGTGACAATCACCCCAGTCCTGATGGCCTCTTTACCGAGTCACGGGTTGGAATATTCTAGAATACCTCAGGATAAAGGTGTGCCTGGAATTCCTTTTGAACAGGGTTTTCTCTGGACAGCAGAGTTCTCTGGTTTCTGAAAGTCCATTCTCGCCACATAAAACAATGAAAACCTCAAAACAGACAGGGTGAGAGGTCAGGGGTGAAAGGTCAGGGTGAAAGGTCGGTGGTTACCTCCCATAGGACCCCTTTGGGCAGAGTTTCCCACACTCCCTTTTCTTCTCTGTCCACAGACCCCATGCGCCACCCTCTGTGGAGCTAGGGGACCGGAGTCCCCACAAGGCCTTTCCAGGGACCCCAGGAGACCAGATGTAGGGCCCAATTGGGCCAGGTGGTTCCTCACACATCTGACCCAAAAGTCAAGGTGCCTCTGGGCATCTGCCCATCTCAGGAGGGAAGGATGAGGGTGGGGCAGTTTCCTGGCCCTGTGGCCCTGGAGGGGGTACCATGGGGTGCACCTCGGGGACATGATCTCTGTGTGGTCTTGTGGAGTCCCCTGCCTCCCCCGCAGACAGACACCGCTGGCTTCTGAAATGCTCTCCCATCCCAAGACACCACCATGTTACCCTGAGTGACCTGTGCGCCCTGTTTCCTCACTCGCTGTGTTTAGTTCACTGGGGTCTGGGTTTGTGTCTGAGTGAAGCAAGGTTGGACAGGATGCTTTCCCATAGAGCATCACCCCAGCCATGGGCATATGAATGAGACTTACTTCACATGACTATCGTAACTATTATAGGTCAACCTGAGAGAAAGGCCACGCAGAAATACAGGCTGGGATCCATAAATGTGTGCTGACATTTTAGCGACATTTCTCACTTTTAAAATTTTTTGGTGCCAGGGATTAAACCCAAGACCTGCATGCTGAACTACATCTCCAGCCCTTAAAAAAATTGGTTTTAAAATTTTTGAGGCAGAATCCTGCTAAGTTGCCCAGGCTGGGTTCAAACTTCCAACCCTCCTGTCTCGGCCTCCCAGAGTGCTGGGACACAGGCGTCAGGCCCATACCCGGCTGCCATGGAGGTTCTGGGCCTGCTTGATGAGTTTACTGCGAGGCTCCGCAGCCTGCGGCAGTGATGGCACCATCTTGTCCCAGGTTACTTGGTAGAGAGGGGACCTCCGCTTTACAGGGTGACCCTGCAACCTTTCCTGCTGAGCATCTACCAAGCTTCCTAGGTGCTCCTGGTGGCTCTCATGAGCCCAGTGACCCGAGAACCTCAGACAGCCACCACCTACTGGCTTCTGGGCGCTGGTAGGTCCCGGATACCACCTATTTCTCCACCACCCCAGGCCCTCTCCACACAGCTCCTCAGAGAACAGAGCTGCCCCTGGTCAGGGAGAGCCCTGGGTGGCTCTGCTGCCAGTCTCAGCCCTGCCTCCTCCCACCATAGCCTTGTGGCTGCACTCCACGGGGACACTGGGAAGAGGGAGGGGTGGAGCTGGTGACAGATGAGGTCCTGCATGTGCCGGAAAGGGCGGCCCCGTCTTAGCCAGGAATACGAAGGCCCTGCTGGTGACAGTGACCACACAATCAGCTGGACAGCTGCATCATCACATGGCCACCCCAGGAGCCCCACTCACCCTGGAGGTGAACTGCACTGGCGCCCAGAAGCTGGTGTCCACGACGACCGCGTAGGGCAGGTGTCCGGGCGGCATGGCTGCCTGCAGGAAGATGCAGTCAGCTTTCCTTTCCGAGCGCAGAGCTGCAAGCCTGCTTTTCACTACTGTGAGCCCACAGAGGACCATGAGGACCACCACACACATGCCGGGAAGCAGGTTTCCTGGGTGACTGCAGAGAAAGGGAGAGAAATAAGGAACGCTGGTCATGCAACGGACACCTGGGGGACATCACTGCTACCAGACCACAAGACGGCCCTCCCTGCCTTCAGGGGCTCCTTTCCATTCCATTCTCTTCTTTTCCTTTTCCTATTCTGTCCTTTCCCCTCTCTCTCCTCTCTTGGGGTACGGGAAATTAAACAAGGTTCTTCACACCAAACAACCTCCTCAGTCCTTTTTTAATTTTCTGCTTTGAAACAGGGTCACCTTGAGTCCCTAACTTGCTGGGGCTAGGCTCAGACTTGCAATCCTCCTGCCTCAGCCTCCCAGGGTGTGCCATGGTGCCCAGGGTCGAGATATATTTTCAAATGTGGGCCACAGGCTGAGTAGGCAGCAGGAGCTTCTGGAGACATGGCTACCTGTGGTCAGTGACCAACACCTCATGGCCAGTACACTAGAACGGATGGGCCTGTTGTGCACCAGTCTCTGTAGCTCCTGGTCTCATTGTGCTGATGGAGAACCAGTGACACGACACAGGCAGGGTGCCCCTGACCCGAGGGTGCAATGATGCCTGATCCAAGCAGAGCCAGCTGGGGGCCGACAGCTGGCAGGGTTCATGTTACCTGCTGTTGGTCATGGCTCCGTTGCTGGCCTCTGCGGGTTAAGCTGCCCTGGACCCAGTGACATGCAAGGACCCACAGAATGGTGTCCATGTATCCCTTGCACTGGGACCTTAACATGGTAAGGTGTCCTTCTGGACTGTAGCCTCTAGATTGCTGCTAAGATCCCCTCGGGAGGCCCTGGATCTGTGCTGCCCAGGGGACTTAGGTCCCTTGCCTCACTCACCTTTGACCCCGTCTGGTGCTGGCTGCAGCCCGGCTGCCAACTACCTGTCCCTGGTCCTTTCAGTCAGGCAGGACGAGCTTACCATGGGTGCCTGCTCATCCCTAAACTCCAGCTGCCCCATTCGCCAGGAATCTCTTAGGGTCAGGCCCAATGTCCCTGTCCCTGCTCTGCTGGACTTCCGCCTGGATGGCCCAGAGCTGTTCCCTGCCCCGTCATTTACCCCTCTAGCCCTGACCTTCGGTGGCCAGGAGCATCCTGGGGCTGGCTTCTCCTGAGTTGTCACCAACATCGGACCCAACAAGTAGATACTGCCGAGGCTGGGTGGGGACACAACTAGTGCTTGACACCCCGGGAAACACAGACCTGACCTTGTGAGTTACACGGCAAATGTTGCCAGAACCTGCAGGCCGGGCTGGGTGTCAAACCTGGGGGGGCAGGAGGGAAGGACAGGGAGGGCCCAATACCTGAGGTGGCCTTGGACTCACCCCCATTTCAAACTCTGAGTGCTGTCATACCATGGAGCACAGCTGCTACAAAACCAGGGTGTGTTTAAAGTCTACTGTTTAAAATAGGGTATTGTCAGGAATTTATCTCAGTGGTGTAAGTGCCTGCCTGGCAAGCACGAGGTTGTGAATTCAATCCCCGGTACAAATAAAATAAAATAAATAAATAAAATAAAATAAATTTAAAAAAATAAGATACTTCTGCTGGGCGTGGTGGCTCACGCCTATAATCCCAACATTTGGGAGGTTGAGGTGGGAAGGTGGCTACAAATTTGAGACCAGCCTGGGCTACAAAGTGAGGCCAGCCTGAACTGCATAGCCAGACCCTGTCTCAAAAAGACAAACAAAACAAAACAAAACAAAACAAAAACCCTATTAAATAAATAACTAAATAAATAAAATGGGATACTTCTGAAAGACAAGGAGGGAGGTGTCACTAAGCAGGCCATGACCCTAAGGATGAACCAGGACACGTGGACTGGGTGGCATCACTGTGTGTGCAGACCCGAGCGATAACAACGGACCAGATTCATGCTGGACTGAAGCTAGGTTTCACAGAAGAATGCTGATTTTCTTCTGCTTATGAATCTCATGCTGGGAGGTGGAAATACAGACTGACAACTAAGTATAATAGTCACAGGCAACGATCTCCTTCCAGTCATGCTCAACAGCTAAAGAAAACGTGGTGGTACCACAGAGTACTACTCAGCTATGAAGAAGGCCACGCTTGCATTGTCTGCACCCGAGCCCACGACGCTGAGGGAAACACACCAGATACACAGGTTTCAACGGTACACGGACCTGAGGAACCTCCAGTACAATGACTAACAGAGCAAAGCAAAAGGCAGATAACAAGAAACAGGGAGGATCTTCTGCAAATGGACCAGGAGATGGCAGAGTGGGAAGGGAGGAGGGCAGGACCCCAGGAAGGATGGAGATGAACACACAACACGGAAGGCAAACACGTACTTGTAAAATAAAGATAAAACAGATCAAAGCAGGGACTCCGACATCGAGCCTCTCCTTGGTCATGCGCTGGAGTCTCAGCAGGCAGCCACACCATGAGGGAACTCACCCCTGCCCCTGGGAGACGTCATTGACTTCGAAGCTGGAGTTCAGCGGCCTCCGAAGGATGGAGAAGGGCGCAAAGCGATCATAGCTGGGAGGGAGAGTGGGTGACATCGTCAGAGGTGGCCCCAGGGGCTCTCACAGGGCTCTGGAAGCTCCAAAGGAAGGTGAATTCCAATCTGAAGCCCCAGCTGCGGGGGGGGGGTGACAGTGTCTAACCTGGGGGGGAGGGGCTGCCTTGGTGGCCCTTCTGACTTGTGGGACCAGGTTGTAGCTATGTCCCAGCTATGGACCCAGATGTCAGAGGGCACCCGGGGCCCGGCAGCCCCTCAGGGTGGGGACAGCTCCTTCTGGACACCCTGGGCACAGCCTCAGGGCCTCACACTGCTGCCCTGGCCTATATCTTGCTTCAGGGACAAAGCCCTGCAGCTGGTGACCACGACCACTGCCATCAACAAGCCTCAAGGGAGGTAAAGCCTTCTCACCCTGCTGCCCTGAGAGCAGCTCCCTGAGCGTTTACCTCCTCCCCAGGCTCTCGGGGGGGGGGGCAACTGAGGGGGACCCACTGCAGTACTGGGCTGGGACCCACTGGCGTGACTGGCACCATGTGGCCACAGACGGGAGACAGAGGAAGCCAAGAGCAGTGATGGATGTCACCGAGACGGCGCCCTCTGCACTCATGCCCTCCTACAGGAAACCCCTGGTGCTTTAACATGATTTCTGTCTCAGATGCCTGTTACTGTTAACCCCTGTCTCGGCAAGAGTCAGGTCAACAAAAGCCCTGAGTCAAGCCTCTGGTAGAGTTGTTAACTTTGCTCCTGACAGTAAAGAGTTCCCAGCTCGGACCATGACTCGGACACAGGCGAGGCCGATGGCTGGGGTCTGAGCAAAGATGACTCCTGCCCACAGCTCACAGTCTGTGAGCCTGGCCCTGAGGTGGGGTGTGGGTCCCCCCAAAAGAGGTGGGGTGGCGATGACCCGTGACTCTGCCTCCCAAAAGGCGCTGGCTGCCCAAGTTTCTAGGTTCCAGTCCCTGCTGAACCTCAGCCCCCTTTTCTCCCCAGCGGCCCGCACCTGCAGTTCACTCTGTCGGGAAAGGTCCCTGCCCGAGGTGGGGAGCGCCCCGACTGCCAGTCTCTCTGATCCCAAAACAGGCACCGGAGCCACTGGAAGCGGAGGGTGTAGTTCACTGCGCCCATGAAATGCCTGTTCAGGGCTCTTTTGTCATAGTCAGCGTCCAGTAAGGACAGATATCCCACATCGGCTCCTGAAGGAAAAAAGATAGAAAAAGGGGCCACCGGGGGTTTGCGAGAGGCGGGCCCACTGGGACTCACACTCTGCACAGCCCAGGAAGACGTGAGCAGAACCTGGGAGAGGTGGGACCAGGCAGGGCACAGGGCCACATGCATGAGGGGTCCCGGTGACCTGGCTTGACAGGGGCTATGCTTGCCGAGGGGCTGGGGACCTCACAAGTGTCTGTGGGAAGCGTCTGTCCACACGGATGTCCAGGTCACCAACTAAGGAAACTCAGCACAAGAAGGCGTCCCGACCACCAACCTGGCCCAGCAGCGGCCGGGGCGTAAACTCGCAGGCTCCGAGCATCCCAGGAGTGGGTCTTTTGCACCAGGAAGTCCGAGGGGCTGGGCCTCCTGGAGAAGCTGGGGACAGAGTGGAGCGGTGGTCTCGCCTCTGCCCCTCTCGCCCTGAGCGCCTGAGTCACACAATGGGCGTTCTTCTCACTGCAAGGTGGCAGTATGGGCCCAACACACCAGAGCAGCATGTGGTGGCACCTGCCTGGCATCCCAGCACTCGGGAGGCTGAGGCAAAGAGGGTGCTATGAGTGTGAGGCCAGACTGGCTGCATAACGAGTTCAAAGCCTGCCTGAACTACACAGTGAGACCCTGACTCAAAAACAGAGCTACATAAAAGAAACAGAAATGGTGGATGTGCTCATCCATGGCACCAACTGGCCTCGTGATGAAAATGTCTACATAACTTGCAATGAAAAATTAAAACATCAGTTCATACAGGAAGAAGAACCAGCATGGAACAGGCCCAAGGGCTCCAGGCTAGGCCGGGCCGTGCATGTCTATAATCCCAGTGCTCTGAGGCACCGAGGCAGGAGGATGGTGAGCCCAAGTCTGGCCTGGCCTGGCCGGGTCAGTGAAACCCCGTCTCAGAACAAAAGTGGAATGTAAAAAGGGCCAGGAGGCAACTGAGTGCAAAGGCCTGGGCTTGGACATGTGAAGGCCTGGCTCAGGGCAGATGGAGAGTGGCCGGTGGGCAGGATTAGTCCATGTGCCAGGCTTCTGTGTGGCATGTGTGTGACAACAGCCCTGGAGTCCCCTGTGGATTTCTGGAGGACCTATCTAGACCAGCAGGCGCAGGTGGATAGCCGAGCTTTCTGCCTCAGAGCAGAGGTGACGCAGGCCTGCCTGTCCCGGGGGGACTCAGCCACCCAAACCTGCTACAGAAGTTACAATAGTGGCCCTGCCCCCCCCCAATGATGAGCCCCAGTACCCATCCAGAGCTCCTTCCCACAGCCCCAGGGACCCCAGAGAGGAAGATGGATCACACACCAATGGATCAATATATGTGGATAGACTCGAAAACACATTCTCCACTCAGAAAAGAAAGGAAATAAGAGAAACCCTCTGGCCCCTATGGATTCTAAATGAGATCACACATGATCACAAATGGAGATCAACCTCCATTTGTCCAGCACTCAGAGACAGACTAGCAACAAGCCTCCTGCTCATTATTAAACCTCACAAAGGAAAAAGGCTGCTTTGCTAAATAACAAAATATATCACGTAATTTCTTTTGACAATAACCTGCTTAATTAATACTTTAAAAACAGTTTACCTCACTGGTTTGTTCATAAAACATTTCTTTTTAGCAAGAAATTTCGCACCCACATGTGGAGCCTCACACAGTGAGCCCTGGGGAAGGGCCCGGTGTTGGGAGGCTCTAAAGCACCTGAGTTACAGGGAGCAGCGGGGCTCCTGGGAGGCCAAGGGAGGCTGGCACGGTGACCTCAGGGACAGGGCGTCCTGCTGCCATACCCTCTCCCCGTGGCAGTGCCCAAGCGCACCTGAGGAGCAGCAGCACAGGAAATGCTCTGGTCTCAGGCTCGGCAAACTCAATGCGTATCTGCAGCACCTCGTGGGGGTGCTGAGCCAGCCCTGCAAACCGGTGCACATTTACCCGGTCCTGATGCAGCACAAAGGGGCCTTCGCAGGTGCTGTGGTCCTGCCATGGAGGAGAAAATGAGCTGAGCGAGAGCTGCTGGAAAGATAAATGCCTCAGAAGGCAGCCACCCGCCTTGAGGGGGCAGCAACAGCAGGGACGGCCACCCTCACCTGTTCATCTGCAAACTCCACGGTCACGGGGGTCTCCAGCCGTCGCCTGGGGATAGGGCTTCTGCTGAGGCAGCTGTAGAGGGTCAGGTCCACGACGCTGCCCACCTAGGCAAGCAGAGGCCATCGAAGAAAGAGAGGCAGCCACTGACTCAGAGAACCGAGGTCCCCTCCCAGGAAACGGTCCTGTTACCCAGGAACCAGGAAAGAGTCCTGCTTAGATTTTCTCAAAGCTCGTGCCAGGGGCCCTGCTGTGGGCACACACTCAACCCAGCTGCTCTTTGCATCCCCAAAGCCTGTACCTGGCTGGCGGCCGGGCCCCCGGGGTACGGGCTCTTCCTGAAGAGCATGAGCTGGCTGATGTAGCACGGACTCTGTGTTTCCTTGCTGGCAGGACTGAGCCCGGCCAGGTCCCCAGGCAGGTGCACCAGGATGGGGCCCAGGCTCTGCGTGGAGCCTCGAGGATCATGATGACGAAGGACCCGGAACTCTATTTGCCCAGCACTCAGGGACAGCTGCTGCCCGGGGCTCAGAGACAGCACACCCTAACACAGAGCATGGGATCAGACACTTGCAAGGCAGAGGAGAGGGTCATTCTGAATGCAGGCTAAGGGAGAGATGGGAATCACTTCCCATGGTGCCAGGCATGGGGGTGCATGCCGGTAATCCAAGCACTCTGGCAGGCTGAGACAGTAGTGTCTCAAGTTTGAGCCCAACCTGAACAACTTCGCAACTGAGTGAGATGCTGTCTCCAAATAAAAAACACAAGAAGACTGGGGTACAGCTCAGTACAAGGACCCAGGGTTCAATCCCCGCTACACACCCAGCTGTCAAGGTGGCCTGTCTGAAGTTAGATCAGCCCGAGCAAAGAACCTGATATGGGAACACAACAGCAGATAACAGATAACTGGAAAGTGTTCTCTTTCCTGGCACAATCACTGTGACATCTTCATGTTTAAACAGCTGCTTCTTGGGAGTCCCAGCCCATCTGTAGAGAGTGTTAATGACGAGCTTATTTTTTAAACCCAAAGGCTCAAGTCCCGGCCCAGGATGGTAAATACCCAGTGATGCTTTTCAGCGCGCCAGTGTGTCCTGAGCACCACAGACTCCCACAGAACACAGATTTGCCATCTAATGTCCCAAGTAGTTGGGCAATCAACACCTAAATAAACCAGCAGGCCGGGACCACGGGAAGGGGAGGAAGCTGTGTGCTAATCACTGCTCTGGAAAAACGTCGGCTGTTTCCTAGGCTGAAGAGGAAAACACTTGAGATAATTTCCTGTAACCAGAGCACAAGTAAGGCACATTTTTAGTAGAGATCAGCAGGATTCCCTGTCTTTTCTTCCCTTTCTCTCTCTCTCTCCTTTCTTTTTTCTCTTTCCTTCTCTGTATCTTTTCTTTCTTTTTCCCTCCATCTCTCTCTTTTCTCCTTCCCCCTTTATCCCCCCTTTCTTTCTCTCTTTCATACTGGAAATCGAACCCAGGATCTTTGCACTGGGCTGCACCTCTGGCCCTTTCCCTATTTTTTGTTCTGAGATAAGATCTCACTAAGTTGCCCTGGCTTTGCTCAAACTTTTGGATCTCCTGCCTCAGCCTCCCAGAGTGCTGGGATTACAGGTGTGCATTTTAATTAATTAAAATTTAATTAATTTTAAATTAATGCGCCTAAGAAATCATTTGCATTATTTTCACCATCACTCAAAAAACAGAATAAATGATGGGATAAATGATGTTTTTCAAACTCACACACCTTCCCAAATATTCAAACAAAAACCTGTCATCACTGGGGACCTGACACTGAACACACATACTGAAAGTCCCAAACAGAAGCTTCCAAAGAGCAAGCTGCTTCCCAGAATCCTGAACACAGCTCCTCGGAAACTGATTCTGCTTCCGGCTGTGGGGCATGATTCCACATGGGCTCAAAAGGGGAGGCGGACTGCGGCAGTGTCGCTGCTGTTGCGTCTGTCTGTGGTTTGGTGCTGGGGATCGAACCAGGGCCTTTACATACTCTGCACTCTCTGCCCCTGGGCCAAGCCTCAGTTGCAGCTGGGAGGAATCTTCCTGGTACCAAGGGTTGAAGTGGGGGCTTTGCACTGAGCTACACACACCCACCTCTGCCCCCTTGTACAACTTTGAGATGGGGTCTGGCTCAGTCACCAAGTTTCCTAGGTTGGTTCCAGCTTGCCACCCTCCTGCCTCAGCCTCCATTACAGGCCTGAGCCATACCTCTGACCCTTTACGACTTCATTTTTCTGGCCTGAGAAAAAGTCTCACTTACGAGCAGCACCTCCGAGATGACCTTCAGGCCTTCTTCTCGCATATAGTTCTGATGCCTCGATTTCCCGGGCTCGGAGGCCTCCAGGACTCCGGAGATGAGAAGGATGAGCTCAAGCCCCAGGCCTCTGTCACCCACAGTTCTCCCTGTGAGCTGGGCTGGGTCTTGAAGGAGCATCCGGGTGAATCTGAGGATGCGCGTTGCAGTTGGAAGCCTGAGCTGTGGGCGACAGGGCATGCGTGACACATGTCCCAGCCTGGGTTAGATGCTCTGGCTAGTCACAGTCACAGAGCAGGTGGGCTGCTGAGTTCAGGGTCGAGAGAGAGGCCGACCCCACGTTTGGTCTGGTTTCCCATGCTCTGCTCCCCGATGCTCTGATGACTGAGGACAGTGAAGGTCCTTCACACCAAGTCCCGGTGCTGGGAGACACTGCCTGGTTTGAACCCAAAGTCACCTCACAAACTCTGTCACAAATCGGCCCTGACCTCCTTTCCCAGCCTCTCTCCATCACCCATGAACATGCTACAAGGTGTGACTGAGAAAATACGGGGAATGCTTAGTTTAAAAAATCACTACAGTAGGAGCTGCCTTGCCACGAATCTTCCTCAGAAGCCTCCTCCACTTCGATACACTAACCCTCCCTTCTTGCACTTTCTGGATCCTTCTGGAGTCCTTTTCCTGGGTGTCCTGGCCACCTCGATGCCCTGAACTGACTCAAAACGTTTCCCTTTCATGGCCATTTTGACTCTGAGGTACGGCCAGTGGTCACACAGTGCCAGATCTGGTGACTGAGGTGAAAAAGGATGCAGGGGCTCATTTCTACAAGCTGCCTTTCTGTTGGCAGCAGCATTCAGGGTATTTGTGATCCCACCTTGGAAAGACCCTCAGGAAAGAAGACTCCAGAGCTGCTTTAGAAACGGCGAGGACGATGGGACCTGTGTGTTTGAACTGAGAAGAGATTTTGAGGGGGATTCATGGTGATGTGGCTCTGACTCTGTTTTTACGATTTAAATATTCACACTATTTTTCAGGCAACCTTGCATTTCTAATCCAAGTATCACAACATAACTATAGACTGTAAATCTGTTTTACAAGAACTGATCACAGGCCTCAAGATTGGGCAAAAAAAATGAGGAAGATTCTCTGGAAAGAAGTAGCATGTACCTTGATTGGAAGGCTTATGAGGTTCCTCAGTGTAAGCACAGAGTCAATCATTTCTTCCTGAATGGTAGAAACAAGCAAACAAAATAGTAACAAATAGGACAGATGAATTATTAGCATAGCTGTGGCTTGCTGTGCAGAAGCAGCAGACCACATGCTTCCCAGTGAAGACAGAGCACAGAGTGACTTTCTCAAGCAAGAGTGTGACCTTGATCCTGAGCTTCCCCCAGCCTAGCATCTGTCCTCCTTCTGTGCCCACCAGTGTCCCCATCAAGGTATGGACATAAGTGGGAGGGGTCGAGAGAACAGAACTATGGAAAACTTCGTAAAAACAGCAGAGGACGAGGCGGGAAGAAAACCATCCATTCAAGCAAAGCATCCTCGCAATTACAGTGAGCAGGAGGGACCTCTGTGGGGGTGAATGTCTGCAGTGACCACAGTAAGGCAGCTGCAGAGATGTCACGAGCAGGTGTAGCTACCTCAGAATACATGACCATCTCTTACGAAGCTGTGCAAAGTCAGGACTGATGTTCTAGGACACTGTTTGCTATGGTTTAGGTCTAGGATGTTCCCATTGAAATCCCAAGTGTGCAGGATTGGGGCTCATGGAAGGTGATCATGGGGTGCTATACTTGGCAATGGACAGATCCGTGACGAGCCCACAGTTAGCCGTGGGTCCTTGTTGGCAGAGTTGGTCACTGGGGGCTGTGTCCTTTGAGCATGCATCTCCTTTCCCAGCTCCTCCCCTCTCTCCTGCTTCCTGGCTGCCCTGACGGAAGCAGCGTTTCTCCCTGAGGCCCTTCCGCCATGCTTCTTCTGCTGCCCATGGACTAAACCCCCTGCACTGTGAACCCATTAGACCTCTGCTTCTAAGTTGTGAGTATAAGGTATCGCGTCTCAACAACAGGCAAGCCAAGACATCGCTGCTAACAAGACAAGAACAGATTAGATTTATGTTACTCTGCCTTGTAGAAATGGTAGCAGAATTATGCATAATAATGATGGACTTTTTTCTTTCCTAAACCAGCGGCACTCATTGGAGAGATGTATCAACAGGGGAGAGAGGGTGGGAGACACACCGGTGCCAACCCAGTGTCCTTTCTTGCCTGTGGTTCTTACCCATGACCCCTTGCACATGAGCCAACCAAGCCCAAGCCTTCTGACCAGGTCTCGGCTCACAGACACAGACACCTTAGCTCCAGGCCCTACCTGATCTGCAACAGCTGATTGGCACACTGCAGAAATCAGCATGTCCTGCATCGGTGACCACCAGTCACAGGAAGTGCTTGTGTCCTCCTTAGCCAAGCGACTCAGGATGCTGGTCAGCATGGCGACATAGTTCCTGCTCTCCGAGTCACTCCCCATCAGCTGGAGGGTGGACAGGTTCCTCAGGCTGGAGCTGTACCTGAAGGAAACCCAAGAGTCATTGCGGCTGTCACCGCCACTGCTAAGCTCTTCACCCCACCTGCTGAGACGGGGGTGCAGTCTGATCTTCATGGTGGGCAGAGAAGAGAAAGATGCAATTGGGAGTCGGTCTGGGCAGAGGAAGCTCTAACTTTACACCCAAGTCCAGTCCAGCCCCTTAGCTCTGAGCCGGAAAGGCACAAAAACCCAGACAGACAGGCACAGAAGCACCATCGCCAGTGAGGACCCAGAGTCCAAAATCCAGGATGCCAGCCATGGGGGCTGCCGCTGGCTGATGTTCCACGAGCATCCTAATAATCAGGAGGTGGGACTTAGACCCCAGGTCCCTGATGGAGGGCACATGAGTAGACGACCTCCTCTTTCAATGGCTGCATATTTATTTACTTATTGTAGACTGTGCTTCACTTATTTGCCTTTGGGAGGGCACACTGGTGTCACCCTGTGCCTGAATCCAAAGGCCACTTCCATTCCTTGCTCAGAAATTTTCTTGTGCTGGCACCTCAAGCACATGGTTTAGCAGGAATATTGAGCCCAGATACCCAAACAATGTATGTAAAACAAAAATTCCAGTTAATCAAGCAATGCATTATAGGCACTGAGGCACACATATGCCTAGGCACACATCTGACCAATGTACGATTAACAGAACAAAAAAATCCACAGGAACCTGGGATAAAGCTAAAAACCTGCAGACAAATTGCAGCAGAAACACCTCAGGCTCTGTGCCCGGGAAACACACTTCACAGGGTTAGCTCTGCCAAGTCAATAAACAAGAAAGGACAGGCATACAAAACCAATGACAGTTACTTTAAAAATGTTAGCATCCATTGCATAAGCAAGTATCTACGAACTGTTATTGTGGGGCTTATGATTCAGAGCAAGGTGGTGTGACAATAACCGTGTGACCAAGAGGGCAGCAGTGATGCCACGTCAGAATAAACACGTGACGTCCAGCAGTGCCTGGAACCTACGGGCAGATGCAGAGATGCCACCTAGAAGGTTAAGGCACTTTAAAGCACTCCTAAAAAACACTGTGTCCCACTTTCTTTACTAGTTTTTCTCTGAAAAAGATCATTACATAAAGAATAATCATGACATTGTAACACTGGGTCTATAATATATAGAGACATTATGAATGTAATAATGACTCCCCTCCCTGAAAAGAGAAGGAAACAGCTATATTGGAGCGAAGTTCCTACATGGCAGGAAATAGCTAGGCTGGGGACACAGGAATTGCTGCATGTGACAAAGGCCTGGGTTTGGTGAGGTGAACCCAGGCTGTGTGGATGGTCGCCTGGTAAGGGTCCTGGGCAAGGCTGTACTTCTTACTGAAGTTCAGTTACAGTTAGTTTGTAGTAGTTTCTAAGGAGCTAACACGCAAACATTACACGAGCACCTCAAAAAGTACTTAAAAATCATTAAAGGAGGGAAATAATCCATTCGAAAACGTGCACTTCAGAGAAAAAGGTTTGTAAAGGAGGAAGAGAACAGAATGACCATGAGATACAAAGTATCTCATGTAGAAACAAAGTAAAATGGCACTTATAAAGTCAATCATATTAATAACATTAAACATGAAGGACTCAGACAATCCAACCAAAAGACAAAGACTGCAACACTGGATGCAAAAGCAAACACCAACTATTTGACATTTAGTGGAGGGAGTTTGCAGATGACACCCCAATACAGATTTCTAAGATGAGGAAAGGGCTTTGTGGGCTCTGGAGCAGGAGTACAAGTGCCTCGCAGATGTCAGGTGGCAGGTCTGTCATGGCAGCAGGATTCCTGTGGTATCACCCTGACCTGTTCTCCTGACCACCCTATGCAGAGTTCCTGCCACCCCTTTCTGCACCCTGTCCCCAGCTTCCAGGGAAATTTGAATGCTGCCATGAGTGGTTACTCACAGGTCCTCATTGAGGCAGCTGTTCCCATGGTAATGGGGCATCACTGTCACCGCCAAGGAGCACGGCTGTATCCTGGAGCCCTGGCCGTCTGTGATCTCAGTGGTAACCATGACTGTAAGGAAAGAGGACACAGGAGAGCCATCCTGGCACATGCAGGCTGCAGTGATGCCTCTTTACACACTGACAGGGCAGCGCCATCCTGGCCAGGCTCAGGAGGAGAAGGAACCTCAAACTGCCTTCCTGCCCGAGGTGCCACATGGTGAGTACCAGCAAGTTAGGTACGGAACCCCTGCCGACCTGTGGGTCTGTGTCTCATGTGGCACCGAAACCTGGCAGGAAAGGGAGGAGGAGTTCAGGCTGTCCCTGTCTCCAGGGAGAACTTATACTGGACATGAAATCTGAGCACCCACACAGGGGATGAGTGCCAGTCAGGGGGAGATGGCTGCTGTCCCCCAGGACAGCTCTGCCCTCTGGTGCATCCCCTCCAGAGACAAAGAGAAATGCTGAACTGGGACATCAGCCCTGGGGGAGCCTAGAGCATGAACTCCAGATGCAGGGATTAGGGCACCATTTAACGAATTCCGGATTTAAAAGGCATTTAGAGGCACAGAGGGACTCTGACTGGGGGAAAGTTTGCACGGAGACAGGGACCTGGAAAGAAGTGGCCATGCTGGGGACCTAGGAATTCCTTCCTGTGATAAAGGGCTGGGGTGGATGGGGGTGAGGCAGGCTGTAGGTGAGCTCAGGTGTGAGTGACAGGTAGCTGGTGAGGGTCACAGGCATGGTCAGTGAACTACAGGGAGGACTAGATGTCTGTGTGACACCTTCCACTCAAAACCCTGTGCTAAGTGTTGGGACCGAATCAGGAGCTCAGAGCTTCTTGGGGCGTGGATCCTGGATGCCTGCACCCCAAATTACCCACAGGGAACTCAGGGCTATGTTTCCCTGAGGTTTGAGCTGGCAGATGTAACGTGTCCCCTGGGGTAAGCGACCCCACGCAGGCACTGCTGAGCCTGTGAATGGAGACTGGGAATGTGAGAGGCAGGCCAGCTTTCGGGAAGACGCTAATGGGATGTGAGGAGCCTGCACCTCGTCCCTGTACACAAAGACAGGAGAAGACAGCACATTTCACATTGGTTATGCTGCACGTCTGGCTCACGTTTGTCCCTTATAAACCCTGGACCCAGAGGTCTGTGGGAAAGGACCAGGGTCACAGTGGCAATAATCTACAACTACACATGAGGGGAGGAACTAAGTCACATCACTGACTCTCCTGCACTGCTCTTGGACTGGGACCTGAGGTTTGGCTCTGCAAATTTGTCAAAAATTTCTCTTGTTGGGGATAAAGCTCAGTAGCACAAGCAGCTGCCTGGTGAGCTCGAGGTCCTGAGTTCAGTTTCTGGTACCAAAAAACAAAAAAATCTCCTTTCTTCCAAGGCAGAGCAGAGGCTTTTCCCCGAGGTGTTCCATTTGGACATTGGGAGGGACCCACGGCGGTGGGCACCTTGGGTGGAGGCCATCCCATCCGGACTCAGCTCACGGGATCTGGCCACACGGGTGGGTTAGCCTCGGAAGAGATGCCAGGCAGATGGGGTGAGTGCAGACTGGGGACACAAGGATTTACCCGTCAGGCCCATGGGCAGTGCCTCCAGCTACTCAGCCATCATTGGCTGTGCCCATCAGCCTCTCAGTCTCGACGCTTGACTTAAAGAGAAACCTTGAGATCAGCTGGGAATGCAAAGTGATGGTGATTTTTAAAAAAGCAGACAGGAGGCTGGGGATTTAGCTCAGCGGCATAAGGGCCTGCCTTGCAAGCAGGCAGTTGTGAGTTCAATCCCTGGTACCGATAAAAACGAAAAAGACAAAAAAAAGTAAAAAAGCAGACTATGATTATAAAGCTCACAAGAAGTTCGCTCAGTTTGACCTGATGTCCCCCAGAGGAAGGCCACGTGTTAGACTTGGTTCCAGAGTACTGCTGTGGGGAGGTGGAGAGCCTTTAAAAAGTGGAGCCTAATGGGAGATTGTGGGTCACTGGGGGCGTGGCCTTGAATGGATTTCAAGATCCTGGCTCCCCATCTTTCCGTCTGTCTCTCACACTCAGCCGATAGGTAACCAGGCCTCCTCCTCCACACTCCTCCACACTGGATGGTGATGGGTGCTAGCATTGTCCCAATCAGTTATGGAATAGAACCTCTGAGACCATAAACCAAAACAAACCTGTCCTCATTTGAAACTGGTTTAGTATTCGTTCTAGGATCGGAAGACTGGCTAACACGAGCACTATAGCTAACTCAATAGCACTTTACCCCACGTTTTCTTTTCGGGGGACGGAGTATCTTGATTTGGTTTTATCTCAGATAATGCAAGATTCACCAAGATAGCATATCTTCACAGTAAACAAAGGACATCTTGATCCCGTGTACTTATACACAAAAACAGTACTGGGCATTCTATCTCTCATATTATATTTTAGTTACAATTTAAAATATAAAACCAGTTTACAGATGATATTCCTAATGTTCTGTGTGAAAAGCTAGATTATTAGACTACACTAAAAAGTATTAAACTTACCAAGGTGATTACATAATTTTAAGTTTTCAACAAATAGTGGGGTTTTTTGGGGAGGATTTTTTTGGTTCTTGCTTTTGCTTTTTGAGACAGGGTCCTGCTATGTAGTTTAGGTTGGTCTTCAACTCACTATGTAGCCTAGGCTGACCTTAAACTCACGTCATCCGCCTTCCAAGTGTTGGAACTGCAGGCATGCCCCACTACACCTGATGTAGATGTAGTTTTAAGGACTTCTAGTTTGTGGAAACCAGGAGAGGTCTGTGACCTTGGGCACAATCAATCACCCCAGTTCTTCCAGTCACTTACCTCTGTAATTATCCAAGGGGTCTCCAGCAGGAAGGGCAAAATAGTACTGGGTGTCTCTCCCTCGGTATAAGGTGTGTCTGGGGGCGTTTCCTACCCGGTAACTAAATTCATAATGAAAATCCTAGGAGGAGCAGAGACAGGAGAGTTGAATACATTGTGGATAACATCCTGGATAAGTGCAAGTGCACCTGCAGCCTTCATGGCACCCAGAGGCACATTCTGCAGCAGAGTCAGGGTGAATCATGGCAAAACATGGGCCTTGGTTACATGGCACATGCTGCGGCTTCCTGCCCTGCGGGACTCCCCTGTCCACTGCCCAAGAGCTTCTTGCAGAAAGCAGATGCCTCACTTGGTGCCAACCAGCTCTCCTGGCCCTGCAAACTTCTGACCTTCAGGAGTCAGACCGTTGAGGCCCCTGGGCTGCATCTTAGCATCCAGCTGCAGTGACACAGTGGGGACACAGCGCCCAGAGTAGCAGTCACTGGGGCCAGGTCCTGAGGGGAGGCCACGGCCCTGACCCGCATGGGGACAAGTGAAGGCTTTGGGGAAGGAGCGGCAAGGGTGGTGAGGGGGCAGGCGGGCCGGGTCCACTGTGAGAGTGGGAAGGTGCCCGGGACCAGTGTCTTGGCCTCCTGCCTCACACTCGGGAGGGGCACTGCCTGCTCACCCTCCAGCACAGCTGCAAGTGAGCACCGAGCACCCTGTGAGGCCCGGTGGAGCTGCCCTCCTCTCCTTCCCATCCCCACAGGGCACCCTGCTCTCCCCTCGTCAGAAGGAAAGGAGGGGACCCCCGTTTACCCCAACTTTTCAGCACTCGGCTGCTGTCTCAAGTCCTTCCAGGGTGGGAACTTTCCTGCCTCAGCCTGCCCTGCAAAGAGTGGGCTGAAATTTTCAGGGTGGCCCAGGCTGTCCACGTACCGGCGCCCCAGACATGCAGAAGATGCTGAAGACAGTGAGGGCCTCGAGACCGTGGTGGGGCTGCAGCTGGCAGTTCACCCCCTGGGGCACAGGGCGGACGGGTACATACAGCTGGGCACGGCCCCACACACTGGGCCCTGCAGCTGGGAGAGAAGAGGTGGGGTGTTCAGCCACAGGGGACCCCAATCAGGGCAATGGGTTACACTTTCAGAGCTCCCATCTTACAGCAGGGTCTGGAAGTGGGGTCCCCAGACCGGCGGCCTCAGGGTCCCTTGGGAGCTGGTCAGATGGGCAGCTCCTTGGGGCTCACCCCACACTGAGACCCTGCAGCAGGTGCCTCCACAGCCCTTCAGGGGTGCTGTGCCCGTGGGGTGGGAGAACCCGCGATGAAGGGTGCAGTGATTTGTACCCTGCAGCAGGCGCTTTCAGAGCCCAACAGCGAGGGTGGACAGGAAAGACCCGCCTGGGTGTCACCCCATTCATCGGACATCATCTGCTGGACTCTGGAGACCATCGTGTCAAAAGAACTAAATCAGACACACAGGTGACATCACGTGGTTTTTCTCACAGGAGAACCCTGACATATGAAGGCATTCAAGAGCAAGATAAGAGACAGGTGACAGGGGACAGACAGGGAGACAAAACCTCTGCAGGGGTTGCCAGATGGAGGGAGTGGAGGAGAGAGGCACAGGAAGAACCAAGGCGTGTTATGCGCATCACCAACCTCACAGCACGGGTAAGGTGTGCATATTAATACAGGCAAGAGCCTCAGCCGCACATAGGACAGCTAAGGGGACCTGTGCCATGGACGCAATCTCACTTTTCATTAACTGCATTACTACCGAAAGTACTTCCAGCCAGGTGTGGTGGGGCATGCCTGTGATCCCAGCACTCAGGAGGATGAGGCAGGAGGATCGCTGAGTGCAGCCTGGGCTACACAGTGAGACGATGTCCCAAGGTAGCTGCGCAGGGCTTACTGTGTGAGCGCTGTGCCGACCCGAGGAGGAGGCGCTCAGGGCAGTGCCAGGGTCCAAGTGCTGTCTTAGAACTGCATCACCTATCTTTTGTAAGATTTTGTAGTTTCAGACAAGGTCTCGCTAAGTTGTCCAGGCTGAGCTCAAACTCGAGATCCTCCTGTCTCAGCTTCCCCAGGGTGGGTTTTTTTTTTTTTTTTTTTTTTTTTTTTCTGGTACCAGGAATCAAACACAGGATCTTGTGCTCGCCAGGCAGGTGCTTATGCCACTGAGCTATATTCCCAGCCCCTCCAGGGTGGGTTTTAATGAATGCAAAAACATGGTTGTTAGGTCAAATCTAGGTAGAGACATAAGGTTGACTCTTCAGTGGTTGTTAAAGGGAACCAAAAGCCTCTCTGGAAGTCATCCAAATGACCATCGCAGATTGAGCTGTGGAAGTGGGAGGTGGATGTGGGCCTGGGTTCACACCCACCACCCACAGAACGCCAGCTGGCACACCTGGTAGGAGGTTAGATAAGAGGTATGGTCAAAAATACAGTGAATGCTGAAATACAAATTTTAGAATTAACCCTTGCTGTGAGTCAGCAGTGGCCATGCAGGGCTGGAAAGAGAATCAAGAAGCCAGGCTGCCCTTCCCAAGAGGCGACCACTGTGCAGGCTGGGAGACAAGAAGAGACCCCACCCCCACCCCCACCCCCACCCCCATCCCCACCCCCACCCCCACCCCAGCAATGGGCTGGTTCAGAGAATCACAGGCTGAGCTAACCACAGCTGAGGGACAAAAGCAACTTAAGGCTTATGTTCTCTGCTGGACTCTGCAGGCCTGGGTGGCGGTCTGAGTGTCTGTTTACAGGATAACAACACGCAGCACAGCATCTGAGGCGGTTTCCTTGTCTTGTTTTTGAAATCCAACGTTGTTCTCACTGTATGGTTTATTCCATTTTATTGTTTTGTTTTCTTCAAAGTTCTGTTTTGATTGGTTTTATTCTGTTTTTGGACTTTATTATGTGTGGTCAAGTGGACAGCTATTTTGAAGATAGTAAGAGGCACTGTGGTAGAAATGTTGATTTCCTGTTATCCTATTTTGAGGTCCTATATCGCTCTCACTGTTTTGTTTTGAATGGCTTTATTCTGTTTTATTTTGTTTGGTTTATTCTCTTTAAAATAAAATTTAAAACAAACTTTTAAGCATTATCACAGTAACAGACACCCTGCCATGAGGCCCCCTCCGAATCCTCCCCGGCAGAGAGGAAGGGGTGAGGTAGAGCCAGGACCAGGGCAGGGGTGTTTTGGGGTGAAGGGCGCCACTTCAGGGAAAAACACCAGTGAGACAGGACACAGGGGCTCCCCCACGTGCCATCCAACCCCCAAGATACTCACCCAGGGATGCCTGTAAGACGTAGGTCTCCCCACTGCTCAGGGAGTACGGCTTTATGGTCATGGTGGGCTCGCTGACACCTGGACAGAGGGAGGTGGCCTCAGGACACTCGGTCAAGCAGCTCCAGGGCTGGGGCAGGCGGGTCCCAGAGCAGCCTCTGCCCTTGTTCTGGGCCACAGTCAAATACACCCCGGCTCCACATCCCATCCCTGCTTGCGGATGACACTGGTCTGTGGGTCCCCTTCTTTAGCGCTGGGCTCCTATCTGTACCCCGAGAAGCTCTGCAGAGCAGTCACTCCTGGGCAGGAGCCGACCCTGAGCTCTTTACCCTGGAATCAGGAGGAAGCCGGGGCAGAGCCCAGCGACAGGAACAGGACAGGTTTTATACCTCGAAGTTTTGCACCAGCATTCCTAGATGCAACTCCAGGACAGGGTGAGCAGGGGCCATTGGGCCATAGTGTGAAACTCAGCCTCCCTGGAGGCCCATGGGCAGCCTGGCCACAGGTGTTGGCCATAGGTGTCCTTAGGGAAGGAGGTAAGGATTCCACCTCAGAGTCCCAACTGCAAAAGGACACGCCCACACCTACCCCCTGCGGTGTAGCTCTGGAAGACTGCATGGCTGACTGGGGCCTTGGGCCAGTCGATGTCGAGGACTGGTGGGGCTCTGTCCACTGAGAAGAAGGGGCCCAGCAGGCTGTCCCCGTCCCCAGGGCTGCCCTGGGCAGTATCCATTTTTGTGCTGGGTCCTGACCCCGGGAAGGGGCTGCTGTTGCCTAAGGGGGAAAAAAAGCCCTGTTAGGAAGCTAGTGGGGACTTGGCAGGAATGGGGAGGGGTTTGAGAGGTGGGGAGACAAGGAGAAAAAGAGGGAGATAAACACAACTCAGGGGATCCCACATCGTGTCACACAGCTGCTGTAAAGATTGAGGTGGCAAAGTCCTGTTCGTGTGTGATGATCTGGTCTAAAGTCAGTCACTGTTCCTACACTGCTGGACTCTGCTTGTCCGCACTGTGCCGGGGTGAGGGCATGAAGGGGCACAGCATTTAGGGTGTGGCTCCTGAAGGGACCGAGATGTCACCAGGCTCACAGTAAGAGAGGTGCCCACTCGGCCCACGCAGTGTCCCAGCAGCCAGGACACTTTTCCTTTTGGCACCCGAGGGCGCATGGAGAGAGAAGGCATCGCCCTGGCGCCCACAGAGTTGCTCCAGATTTGGGGATCTTTCCAGCCTCGCTGGGTTCCAGGAGCCGAGTGGGCGTCAGGTGTGTGGGGCTCGCCTGCCCTACATTCGATCTCAGATTTATAAACAAACAAATGATAAAGCAGCCCCAAAACATGCATTCCCAAGTCAGAGCAAGGGTGCGCGGTCTCTCCGAATTCCCTGGCCTAATTCCACCTCCCTCCCTTGTTCTCCTCCCGAAGGTATTTACTTCCTCGCCCCTCTGGATCCGGATCTAAGAACCAATGGCAGCAGTGTCCCTGCCACCGGCATGTGGAGGGGAGGAGGCCAACCCCGGGGGAAGGGGCGTGTGCAGGGCTGGGATGGGAGGTAGACACTGCGTGTGCAGAAGGAGACGGAAGCGGGACTGCCGGGGACTCACTGTCCACTTTCCCTGGTGGACAGGTCACCCAGAGGTGCTGCCTGGGCCCTTAGGGGTCAGTGCATGGCTCCCTGACCATCCGGTCACTCACTAGTGTCCTCTGTGGGCCCTGTGCCGCTGCTGTGCCGTTTCCTGGGACTTGGGTGAGCTGGCCATGGCGCTTTCCCCGAGACCTGGGGGCCGCGCCTTATACAGGTAGAGCAGGTTTGTGTGAGGGGAGGCTGAGCCATCAGAAGTGGGAATGGAGGGGAGGAGCTGTAGGGTGTTCCTGAGAGACCACAGGGGCCAGTATGTCCCCGTAGGGCTGGGGCCACCGTGGGGAATGGACAGCAGGGTGTGAAAGGGGCAAAGGGTGGACCTGTGGTGGGGGGGAAGGGCAGATGGGGTACAGGAGCCTGGACGGGGCGGAGTCACCTGGACGTCGTCCTCCTGCTACCTCTGCTTCTTGGATGTCGCTGTAAAAGGCCTCAAAGTCTGTAGGAGACAAGACCAGGGACCTGCTGCAATCCACCCAGGGAGCAGGGGCAACCTCAGGAGGCTTGTCCCACCTCTTGGTGCAGCTCTGTTCCTGGGGAAGTCTGAAGTGCGGGGACAAGGACAGGGACAGGTATGTCACACTCACCGTCCAGAGGAGGAGAGGAGCCGGGCGGGGGCTGGCTCTGCACAGAGGGGCTCTTCGTGGCCGGCTGTGGGCCCCAGGGGGCACTCTCCAGAGCATCCTCCAGGGCCATAGCATCACCAGCAGCGGGGATCCAATCACGGTCCCCCGTGGGTCCCACGGCCGCGCTCCCCGGGATGCTGAGGACCGCCCTGTGCTGGGCTGCGGCCAGGGAGTCCGGTAGGGAGGCTTGGCTGGGCCGGGCACCCAGCAGTTCAGGCTCTGGCGACTCCTGAGTGGCCTTGAGAGCAGCGGAACCCAGCAGCCGTGTGGTGCTGCAAAAGGGAGCTGAGACGCATGCGCAACCGCGTTAGCTCCAAGTACCAGCTCGTCCTCGGAGTTTACGGTTCACGCAAACACAGTGCTCTGCCGAGGCACGGGATGATCGCAGCTGGCCGCGTGAGGCCAACAATGTCTGCATGTAGGTAAAGGGGCTCACTGTGCTCCCCCTGGAAATGCTACCTGCAGGCTCTGTGCAGCCCTGGATCCAGCATGGGCCGCTCAGGTGTGCCCCACAGATCACCTGGGACCTTTCCCTACTCCTGACTCCTCCCTCACCCTGACCCCAAGGCTCTCCCGCACCACCGGTGTAATTGCCTGTTAGAAACGCGAGGAACAGGATCCACAGCAAGGAGAGAACCAGCTGGGACACGGGGTGGGCAGACAGCACCGTTGCCGTCCCCAGGGCACCAGGCCGGACCCTCTGCAGTGCGCCTCTGCTCAGAACCTGGAGGCCCAGCGGATGGACCAGGACGGCAGCTCTCGTCTGGGTGGGTGCCCCTGCGTCCCTTCAGCCAGCACAACCTGACCGAGGCTGCACTGTGGCCACCCACTCCGTGGAGTGTGTAACCTACGACAGCTCAGGCTGGTCATGGGGGCTCACCCCGGTGGTCCCAGCACCAGGGAGGCTGAGGCAGGAGGAGGCCATGAGCTCGAGGCCAGCTTGGGCTACATAGTAAGACCCTGTCTCAAACAAAATTTTTTATAAATGTAAAAAACCAAACTCAGGCACCTTGGACTTTTTCTAGGCAACCAGAACTTTCTGACTCAGGTCTGAATCAGCTGTCCTCGGACTCAGTTCCTCTCCACTGGACTTGGGTGAGGCACACAGACTCCCTGTCTCTCACCCAAGGAAACGGGCGTGGAGAGGAAGCGAGGCTCAGAGCCCGGCTGCTCAGCGCTGCTGCCTGAGGCCTGGCATAGTGCTGGGATCAGGCAAACAGGGGAGCTCGCCTTCCACTCCACTCTACCCCACAGATCCCGGCTGGGACCCCAAGGAGTGGGATTTCTCTGACCCCACCAGCAAGCTACAGGCAGCAGGGGCCTCCAAGTCCTGCAGGCCCCACTGTGTCCTCTGGTCCCTGCTGTGTCCTCCGGGAGACGGCATGGGTTCCCTGGGCAGGGCTGGGTCCCTGCGACTGTCCCCACTCCCCACGTGGATTTCTGGGTTGCTGCCCACTCAGCTGTAACCCAGGGTCCCCGCGGTCACCTCTGGAGGTCTAGGGAACGTCCTAAAGAGGCAGAGCTGGGGAAGCACTTAGACAGGGCACACTTCGGGGAGAGGCAGGAGGAGGGCAGTATTCAGGTCCCAGGGCCTCGGCTGTCCACATATCCAAGCCCTGCCCATCTGGGGTCTCCCTGAAGCCCTCAGGATACAGGTACCACCGACCACACCATATGTGTCAGTGATCAGCAGGGACTGGAAGCCCCAGTCTCTAGTGCTGCCTCTGTCTGTCAGTGGTTTGGCCACCCTGGAGCTAGCGGGGGCGCCACCTACAGCTCACTAGCCCATGGAAAGCCACCAGTCACACTATAACCTGCTTGCCAAGAACTGGAGCCCGGACTGGACATGCGCCCTACGGTGTTGGGGGACAGAGACTCAGCCCCCCCAGCACACTAGGGGTGGAGGAGGGGTAGCATCAGGAGCTCCCCACTTCTGTCCCCAGGGCAGGAACAAGGCTCAAGGTGAGCCCAAGTGGTCGCCAGGGCATCGCGATGCCACCTCGGCCCCTCGGGGGTGAGCCCCAGCTCCCAGGGGAAGCCTGTGTCACTGTACCTGTGACCCTGCTCTTCTCGGTGGCGTTGACCAGGAAGAGCTCCCAGGAGTAGGTCAGCCCCGGCATCTCACCACAGGAGTCGCACACGGCTCGGAGGGAAAATGCCTCATTCCAGTTAATGGATGTGTCCCTGAAACTGCCCCGGTCAAGGCGCAGGAACCTGGGAGGACAGGGAGGGCGGGTCTGAGGCCCGGAAGGGTGATCGGGGCTCTAGCTGCATCGAGTGTGCTGTGTGCCCCTTGTGGCCGAGCTGGCCTGGCACTGGGTGAGTGCACAGCAGTGGCCTGGCCAGTGTGACCCAGGGCCTCACAGGGGACACTGTGTCACCTGAACCACCCAGGACCTGGCTATCACCTGGCCTGTACTGCCCGTCACCCGCAGCCTTTGGTAGCGACCTGCAGGGCCCGGGGTGTGGTACCTGAAGGCCGGGTCCTCGCGGGTGGACAGGAACACCTGGGCCTCAGAGGAGCTCCGGCCCCTGCTGGCCACGGTCAGTGTCACAAGGAACTGGTCACAGCACCTGTTGAGCTGCTCTGCTGTGAAGGTCAGGGTGGGGGCCCTGGAGTCCAGCGGATGTGGGCCTATGCCGTCAAAGCAAGGCTGCCCGGGCGAACGGGCTGCAGTGCAGGTCCAGCGGTAGCTGGGGGAGAAGCCGTACAATAAGGACGTGGTCCCTGTTCTCCAGCGCAGGCCGGGGGTCTGGGACCTGAGATGTGGGTGACCACTGTACACTGGAACTGGACTTTCCCAGCACATGTGACCTCTCTGATCACAGTTCTGTCCTCACCAGGGTCACACGGCCCCATCCCTGGGCCCTCCCCAGACAGGAAGGAGATGCATCTGGGGCACCTGGGGAGCAGCCCTGTTCCTGTCCTGTGTCTGACAGTGCAGGACACATGTGCGCCCACCAGGTTGGGATGGAAGGTGAGCAGTGCTGCCCCCAGCCCAGAGCGGGCCTTGCTGTGCAGCGATGATCGGGTACACTGGCCCAGAAGTCTGGAGCAGACACCTCAGGTGTGATGGTCTACGGCCCGAATGGTCTGAATGTAGGAAGGGGCTGCAGGGTGGGGTGGCAGGATAGCTCGGGTGGGGCCTGGCTCAAGGCTAGAGCCTGCGTGGATGTGGTCAGGAGTGGGGCCCCACAGGGGTGCGACACTGTCCTCCCCACCCCCAGACCCTGCGACGGTGGCAGTGACACCTCACATCCCAAATGGCATCCGTACAGCAGTATTGGGCATGTAGGCCAGGCTGCACACTGACTGGGCTCTGCTACTGTCACCCCAGCTTTCCTGAGCAGGGTCTCAGCAAGTCCCCAGGTGGCCCAGGCTGGACTGGAACTCGAATACTCCTGCCTCAGCCTCTAGGAGTGCTGGGATTACAGGCCTGCACCACCACACCCTGCCCCAAATATTTAACAGATACATTAAACACTACCTGAAAAGGCCATTTACACTTTCCTCCTTCCTAAATTACCTGCAATCTGACCCTAAATCAAACAGTTGAGCTTCTGAAAGCAAAAGCACTTTCATACCTCTAACCCGTTCACGGGTGGCTTGTCACTTGTGCGTCTCGCTGCTGGGCGGCCCTGACCCTTGGGGTACAGGCATGGCTGTGCCATCGCCTGCCCTGGTGACTGGAGCCGGCAGGAGGGCGTCCAGGTACCTCAGGGGGATGCTACAGCCACTCCCTCTCAGAGTCCCTCAGGGGGGCTGGAGCCCTAGGAACCCAGAGCTGCCCCGCCGGGTGGCCTCACCTGAGAGCGGCCCCTGGGTGGTCAGGGTCGTAGGACAGGGTCCCCCTGAGGGTGACAGGCACCCCAGCAGCTCTGGGGACAAAGAGGTGGGTGCCCTCTGAGATGACAGCAACAGGTGCCTGGGCCCACACCTCCACGCCCACCGTGTAGTTGCTATGCACTGCGCTGCCCCGGATCTGCACCTGTGGGGGGGACAGGGGCGTCGGCTCAGCTTCTGCTTCGGTCCAGGAAAGACCCCAGGCCGGAGCCAGGCTCCACCACAGCCGGTCCCCAGATCGGGTTGTTCCTTCAGCTTCTTTACTTTCCTTCGGCCCAATTCCCTCTCACACCTGAGCCCACCGTGCACGCAAGGAAAGGTGCATGTGATTTAAGACAAACTCTTCTATGTTTGGGACTCTTTATAAAGAAGGCTTTTGGCATGGTCTTTCAGAAGCTTGATGCAGTCTGAAAAAATACGGTGTAGGGTTTGTGCTGGGGTGTGGAAGTCATTCTGATTTTTGTTAAGGCCTGGGGTTGGATCCAGGGCCTTTGCACTGGGCTATGTCCCCACCTACTTTTTAGCATTTTCACCTCCAGACAGGGTCTACCTATGGCTCAGTTGCCCTCCTCCTGCCTCAGCCTCCCAGCCTGCTGGGATCCCAGACCGGTGCCACCACTCCTGGCTCCATTCTAGGTTTCTTTCTTAGCGATGCACATGACTCCCTGCTGCCAGTGTCCTCGTAGGAACAGAGATGACAGAACAACCACAACATCAAAACTCCCATCTACGCCTAAGGGCTGGGGTTATCAGAAACATGCCAGGAGGTGGGTGGTGGGCGAGCACCACCAAGGGTTCCAAGGGCTCAGGCCCAGCCCCAACCCTCGACCCTGCCTCCCTCAGCACTGGTGCCCTCACACCCGGGAAGCAGGTGGAGGAAGGGGAACCCCGTGCCCATGCTGGCAGCCCCTCTTCCTGATTTCTGGGTCAGGAACAGCCCTGAAGAGCAGTGAAACCTAGCCAGGCAGGGTGGTGCAGGCCTGTGATCCCGGGGCTCTGGGAGGCTGAGGCAGGAGGATGGCGGGGTGGAGCCCAGCTTAGGTAACTGAGTGACTCAGGGAGGCCCTGACTGGAGCACAGACAGCGCTGAGGACAGAGCTCAGTGTCACAGCAAAGGAGAAGACCACGGGTGGCACTGTGCACTGCTTACGGTAAGCTTAAATACAATGGACAGATGGACGGACGGACGGATGGACAGCGAATCCCTGCATGCTTTGGAGCTGCGAGGTCCAGCCCACTCCCTCCCATCTGGCCCCTGGGACGGGAACAAGGAACTGTTCTTGCACCCATCCACTTGGGGCGGAGGCTACACCCTGCTCCCCTCGGCCTGGACAGTTGCACACAGCCTGCCCCTGGGACACACGCACCTCCACGCCCCTCTCCACTTCCCCAGGGATGCCACAGTGCTGGGGGGGGGCTCTCGTGTGGCCCTGGCCCCTGGTGGATGCCCCAGGCCTTTTAGGGGCTTGGAACCCCAACACAGAGACAAATCCTCTCCAGACACCCTGGGCCGGCAGAGGGCAGCCCTGTCTGACTGTGTCTCTATAGGGGTGGGCACGGCATATGCATGAGAGGGGGTCAGGGAAGTGAGGCTGGGCCTCGAGGTCACTCAGGTTAACTGGTCATGGTGTGCTCAGCTGGAATTGCCATGCTTAGGCCTTGCTGGGCGAGCTGGACGGGGCTGGGTTATTGCCAGGGTTTGGTCGGGAAAGCTGGAGGGCTCTTAGGACACACCACTCACACAGGCTGCCACACTCGCATGCACACACACACACACACACACACACACTCTCTCACATTGACTCAGCACACACTTATTCACACTCAGCCACACACTCTCCAGGGGAGCAGAGCTCCCCCGTGCTGACCTTGGCGATGGCCGTGTAATCCCCGCTGACCAGTGTATAGCCCGGCAACACGAGGATCTGTCTGTGGGTGCTGACAGCAGCAGGCAGGGCCACGGGGGACCCCTCGGCATCCACGAGGCTCCAGGCGTAGGAGAGGCCTCTCGAGATGTCACAGAGGACAGCAGCTTCGAACGTCACCCCCAGCCGCAGGGGCTGAGTCCTCCACATCTGAGGGGGACAGGATGGCGGCTCAGAGCCAGGCCTGTGCTCTCCGAGGACAGGCCCCAAGCTGACCCCGCCAGGGCAGCACCCAAACCAAGACCATGTGCACTTTACATACAAAAGCAACAGTGGGGAAGCCAAGCAGTTACACTTACATACACGTAAGGAAAACCATTTTCCAGGCATAAGGGTCATCGAAAAATATCAAAAGAGAGTGTTAGTAGATCTGATTACATAAAAATTTAAACTTCTGAATGTCAAGAATGTAAAACTTAGCTATGTGCAGGGGTGCATGCCTGTAATCTCAGCTTCTGAGGAGGTTGAGGCAGGGGATTGCAAGTTCAAGGGTACCGGAAGCTACTCAGTGAGACTTCATCTCAAAAAAGGTGTGTTTGCGGGGGGGGGGGGGCGGGGAGCTGGAGGACACAGCTCAGAACCCTGGGTTTAATCCCCTGTACCATGAGAAGGGAAATTAAAAAAAAAATATTTGCAGTATATATGAGATTTACTCGATTTTTCTTTTCTAAAATATTCTAAACTCATTCTCAGAAATCATGACATTTAACCTCCAAATACCACAAAGATGTAGCTATAAAAACTTAGTGTTTCAGTGTTTTTTTTTTTACAAAAAAAGGACAAAAATGATGATGGAGAATTTCAAAACAACATAATAGAAGATTGACAACGGTTAATACCTGTGTACTGTTATCTTCAAAGCAGCTGCTCAGATTACAAGATAGAGTGAAATAATGATCAGTCAGTGAAAGCACAAACCATTCTTTAGATGAACAGAGATCAGTAGCAGAATTATCTGTCTTGTGTATACATAGATAATCTTATCCCTCCCTCTGTTCTCCTCTCCCCCATCCTAGTTATTCTTTCCTTTTGAGCAGTTTCTTCCCCTTTCAGTTTCATAATACCTACTGTGCATTTCGGAACTTACTCACTCATTCAGTTTTTTACACTAGGGAGACAATATAACAGGTACACATGCGAGCCTCATTTAGTTCACTAGTAAATATGGTCTCAAACTGCATCCATTTACCTATAAAAGCCTCGAGTTTATCCTTCTTTGTGGCTGAGTAATACTCCACTTTTTTATCCATTCCTTAGTTGATGGGCACTTAAGTTGTTTTCAAGATCTGGCTATTGTAAATTGTGTTGCTATAAACATGGGTGCACATATATCACTGGGATACAATGTTTTTCATTCTTCTGGAAAAATACGCAGAAGGGGAATATCTGGGTGAAATAAGATCTCTAATCCTAGTTTTCTGAGGAATTTACACATTGATTTCCACAGTAGTTGCAACAGTCTACACTCCTGGTTGGTTGGTTTTTTATTCTGCAGTTCAGGCTGGGTTGGAACTCAGTATGTAGCCCAGGCTGATCTGGAACTCACAGCAACCCTCCTGCCTCAGCCCCTCAAGTGCTGGGATTATAGGTATTCCTCAATACGCCCCACTAGATATTCATCTTTAGATGCTCAAAGTGCCCACTTGCGCGTGGAGAGTTAGAAGGCGATAGGTTTGCTCTGGTTCTGTTCACACCTAAGAACCTCCTTAATGGAAAGCTGGCTGTAGATTCTAGCTCATGGATGTGTGAAACGCACTGCAGACAGCAGTGTAAAGAGGGCACTGCTACAGGGCACACACCATCCTCTTAGCCCCTAAGCCCCCAGCCGGGCCAGAGGTCCTTCAGTGAGGTTGGCCAGGCTGGGGGCCCGTCCCACCCTGCCTCCACCCAGACCTTTGTCCCCTGAAACCTCCATAAACATCAGAAAGGGGAGGACTGCAGGAGTCAGGAAATAGGGCTTCAAGGCTCTAACAGGAGTCTCAGCCTCGCACTTCCCTGGTGGCTTTCGCCATCACTTAAGGAGTGCACGGCAGAGGGCATCCCCAGACTGGGGGCCCAGGAGCGCTGCCCGCCTGCTGGCCCTGTGACACCTGGCAGTGACCCTGCAGGGAAGCCACAGGGAGCAGAAGGATGGAGAGATGGACGCAGAGACCGGTGCTGCCCTGGTATTCATAGACACGGAAAATGGGAAACTACCAGGTAAAGGATGCAGATTTGTGCACCTCACTTAATACCTCCTGCCCTTCCTCCACATTGGCCGTTGTGGTGCACACCTGTGATCCCAGCATCCGGGGAGGCTGAGACAGGAGGATGGAAAGTCTAAGCCCAGCCTAGGCAACTTAATGACTTAGAGAGAGCCTGTCTCAAGATAACAAATAAAACAGGCTGGGTGTAGCTCAGTGCAAAGGCTGCACGTTCAATCCCCAGGGCCATAAAATAAGTAAAAAATATATATATACTTAAAACAGAGAGTAAATTGTCACACTGTAACCCAGCAGTGTTTCTGGATTTTATAAGCACCCTCTCAGGAAGCACAAATACACACACCCCATACCCAAAAAGCCTTGGAGAAAATGGGCACAATAAAGACGTCCAACAGCCTTTTTCTTTATGAATTTAGGAAATGTATAAAACGAAATATAAAGAAACGAGTTATCAGTAATGTTTTCTTGGTTTCATAAGTGAGAACACTCAAATGAAACCACTGCATAGATTAAAAAGCCAAACTCAGGACAGGTACCCTTTTTCTGTCTTTGTGTATCAGCTGAGAAACAAATTCAGACGAGATTTAAAAGGATGCACCTGGAAACCACTCTGCTGGGTGAAAGACGTCACACACACTCACTTTTGAACGACATGGTTTCTCCAACACAGAGAATCCACAGTTTCAATCACTGTGTTTTCAATCAGAGTTGGCTGAGGATTTAGCTCCCTGGTGCAACACCTGCCTGCCAAGTGCAAGGTCCTGAGTTCAGTTCCCAGTGCAAAACAAAGTCTGATATTATTGGCATTTTAGATACACATAATTTAGATACACACTCATCATAGGTAAACAGTGACGTAAAAGACGGCAGGCAGTGGGGAGGCAGACCTTCCACAGGGAGGGAACGAGCGGGGTGCAGGGCAGGGGTGCTGCAAGGACGAAGCTGAGTCCATGCCAGCTCCAGCCCTCTGTGATGCGGGCGACCATGGCACCCCACAAACCTGGACTCATAAAATCTCACGAATCAGGAACCAAGGCTGGGTTGAGGCTCAGCCTCACAGTGGGTGCCTGTCCTGCCTGGCTACATCCTCTGCCACCTCAGTCCCTCCTGCACCCCAGGGGGCCAGCGCTGCGGCCTCGGCCTTGGTCCTGAGGGCTCGGGTGCTCCGGTCTCCACCCCACTCTGCCTGCCTGCACACCCCAAATCCTGGCCAGCAGTGCTTGGGGCTCTCTGCCCAGCACAGGCAGCCTGGACTTGAGGTACCCTGGGAGGACTCGGGCACTTTCAATCCAAGCAATGTAAGAAACTTAATAATGCAAAACAGAACCCTTTTCCCCTGGTTTCTAACCTGTAGCTCGCACTCAACATCTGACCCTTTCTTTTCATTTTGGTGCTGTTTTTGTTTCTAGTGAAAACACTGCAGGTCTCAAAGCCATTAAAAAAGAAGAAGAGAGCGAGAAAAGGAAAGAAAAGAGGCCGCCAGCTCCTGGAAGTGAATGGCGTGGGAACGGGAGGTGCAAGGTGACAAAGGCCTCCCCGCTGTCCTGGGTGGAATGGAACAGGGCTCCTCTGCGCCGCTCCCCTGTCCTCCGGTCCTGAAGGCCTCCCTGCCCTGACACAGGTCCCCACCTACCTGCACCTTCTGGGGCCCCATGTTCCTCACGGGTGGCGGCTGGCAGGGCTCGCGCACCACGAACAGCTGTGTCCTCAGAGTGGCCGCGCTGACACCATTGAAGGCCAGGACCTGCACCGTGAACTCACCCTCCCTGCAGGGCACAGGGAGGCTGAGTCAGGTGGGTGCTGTGCCTTGTTTGTAATATCAGAGTTCAGTGTCTTCACAATCCTTGGTAGCAGGCCAGCCCCAGCAAGAGGAGCACAGCAGGCTGGCTGACCAGTCAGTGGACCTGCTGCTGCCCGCCCCGCTGGGCCAAGCCCAGGTGGATGTCACCTACTCCAAAAGACAGACCCAGACGATGGCACAGGGCGGCGGGCAGCCACAGCCCAGCCCCATGGCCGTCCAGGGTCTCCTTCTGTGAGGGATCCCGGCCCAGAGGCTGCTGGATCCTGCTCTGGTCTTGGCTCCCAGGGACAGATGTTCTGACCACCTCATGGGACAGACCCAGGCTGGCTTGAGTCCTTCGGGAGGCATGGGATTCCAGCGGGCAGTGCCACCGCTGGGGGGCTCTGTTTCGCTAAGGAAATGCATCAATTTGGCAAACAGACCATCTTTCCAGACTTTGGGATCCAAGACAGAAAGACAGTGCTGCCCAAAGGGCACACACTTGGCTCAAGGCCTGGCAGATTGATCCTAATAGGCGACCCCAGACAGCGGGTGCCTCACCCCCTCCTGGACTTTCCCTGGTCACAAGGTCCCCAACGGCTACTCTGGGTTGCCACATCCCTGTCTAGCCTCCATGTGAAGCCTGAGCCCAGATGTGCCCCGCCCAGGGCCTCACCTGCTGTAGATGTGGCTGGTGGAGCTGGTCCCCAGGCTGACAGCACCATCCCCAAAGTCCCACCGGAAGGCGACGTCCGTGCCGAAGTTGATCCTGCACTCGAAGGCCACGCTGGTGTTTACGAGCGCCGTGGATGCCGACACCAGCCGATTGGCCTCGATCCGCCGCTGGGCCTTGAGGACTCGGGGCTCAGAGACCACGCTGCCCACCTCACCGGAAGCAGTGACTGTGACCCGGTACCTGCAAGGGGAAGATGGTGCAGGAGAGTCAGCTGCAGAGGACTTGCCTGGGTCCTCTGCAGGAGGCCGTGTTCTGGGTGACACCTTGGAGGAGACCAGACAGGACTCAGGATTGCCCGATGGGACTGCCCGCACCCTTTGACTTCAAGGACACTAAGAAGCAAGGCTCTGTGCTTGAAATCTCTTTTTTCTTTTTTTTAAATGGCGTGGCGGCATGTGTCTGTCATCCCAGCAGTTGGGAGGCTGAGGCAGGAGGACTGCCAAGAGTTCAAGGCCAGCCTGGGCTACATAGTGAGACCCTGACTCAAAAAAAAAAAAAAAAAAAAAAAAAAAAGTCCTAGAAAGGGTCTCAGTAAGACTAAATTGCCTAGGTTTAGCTAAAACTTGCAGTTGATTAGTGCAGTGGCAAACTGTAATCCCAGCACATAGGAGGCTGAGACAGGAAGATCACTGTGAGTTCATGGCCAGCCTGAAGTACAGTGACACTGTCTCAAAAAAACCAAAAACCAAAAAACACCCTTGCGATCCTCCTGCCTCAGCTTCCTAGACAGCTGGATGACAGGAGTATATCACTGTGTCTCAGCCTCTGCATCTGATTCTCCCGCTCGAGCCCAGGTTGCAGAAGTACTTGGTGGCTTGTTACACAGTGGACAGGATGCCCTTAGCTTTACAGCAGTGGCAGCAGGGTGCCCTCACATCCGTGCCCTCTGCACCACCACTGTGGGACCCTGTGTCATGACACCTGGGTTCACTGACCACTGGGGGATGCTGAGCCGCCTCTGGATGCTCCTGGAGGTTGTCCTCACTGGGGCGCCATCTCCAAAGTGCCATGTGAACTCCAGGGGTGCAGTTTCCTTGGTAACAGCCACAAAGGTGATGTCTGTGTCTGTGGCAAACATGGTTCCATTTGTGTAGACAGAGACAGCTGTGACAGAGAGGGAAGCCCAGGTTTGTCCCTGTGGTGGGGCTGGGGTCACTGTGTGTCTCAGCACCCCTGACCCCCTCAAGTCAAAAGCCACAGGGGGGAATCAAGGGGGCTGTGGAGCTCAAAGCCCTCAGAAGGGCTTCCAGGCAGAGGGCACCCCCTCCCCAGAAGCTGAGCAGGAAAGGCCTGGTGATCCCTGTAGGTGAGGCCGAGCTGCTGGGGCTCAGGGGACAGATCTCCTGTGAGCACCGACACGTACGCTGCATCTGGTACCGAACGGTCACGCTAGGCCAAGCCTGGCTGCAGCCCGCTTGAGTCCCAGAGAGGAAGGACACGTTATAGGAAGCGACCCCAGGGACGCAGTGCTGGACCACAGTACCTACAATGACAGAAAGCATAGGAAGCCCAAAAGAACTTCAAAATTGACTTTTCTCAGGCCTCACATCACACACACAGCACAGCAACGTTTAAAAACCTCCCTGCTTTCTATTCTAGTTTTGAAGCTTGGTGCATGGGCCCTGAATCCAGACAGGCTCGGGAAAGAGGGGCTTCCCCCAGAATTCCCTCACTGAGACTTCCCGGGGGTGTTTTTTGTAAACTCCCGGCTGTGAGTAAGTTAACACCTTTGGAACATGTTCACTGCTCTGCCAGGTGGCTTCCAGGTATGGCTCGGTAGTTTATCCCCAGGGTGCCTCAACGGCTGTCCAAAGAGCAGCCTCGTGAACTGAAGTGCTCCAAATGTCACCCTGCAGTTTGCACACACCTGTGGATGTGTGCACACACATATACCCACACCACACATGCACATGTATGTACTGGGAGGCAGACCCTACACACTGAGTTAGACCATGAGAGAAGGCTGCAATCGGAGATACCTCTTTATCCCACAGGGATATTTGGAAAGGAGGTGGAATATTCCTATATAGCTTTTCTATTTACAAAGAGATAAAGTAGAATGACTATTCGGTTCTTCACTGAGGCACTCAGAATTTTTGTTTAACTGTCTGTTTGTGACAGGATCTTGCTATGTAGGCCAGGCTGGCCTCAAACTCCCAGTGATCCTCCTGCCTCAGCCTCCTGAGTGGCGGGGATTACAGGAATGCACCACCACGCCCAGCTTGCACCATAATTTTTGAAAGCTATCCCATGAATAAGAGCGGCAGAATCTCATTAACAATGAATAAAAACTAATCCTGGCTCCAACCTGGTAGTTAAAGAACCATGAATAAAGTGCAGTTTGTGGGTTTGCCTGAGCTCCTGCAGTTTCCAGTCTATCGGACAGGATTGCAAACCAGACCCTTTGATTCTGCATCCTGGCCAGGAACCTGGCTGCACAGCGGCTTGCTGGCGCAGAGTTTAGAGAGGACAAATTCAGCCAGACAGGGCTGCTAAGATGTGGACTGGCTAACAAGCTTCCCTTGGCACAGGATTCTCTCCAGGCCAGTGGCACGTGGAACTCGTCCCAAAGATGTGAGCTCCCCAGGCCACAGTCCCCGCTCCTCTCTCGTGTCTGGGAAATGCTACCCACAATCCCATCCCTTGGACTGCACTCTGGGGCTATCTTTGACCACGTCCCTCTGGCTCTGGCATTCAGACTCTTCCTCTAGAACTCTTGGGTCCAGTCCCTCTTCTGCCTCCCACTGGCCTCTGACTTTTGGGTCTCTGATACAAGGTGGTCAGGAAGGGAGCGGCACACCCGCATGCAGCCTCGAGGGCAGGGGCGGATAGGTCATCTTAGTCACCTTCCTGTTACTGAAAACACATCGGACACCCGCAGTTTCAACGAGGAGAGGTTTGCTGACTCATGGTTTGGGTCCATGGCCAGCTGCTCCAGGTCAGGAAGTCACGGAGGCCAGAAAGCAGAGAAGAGAGGAGTCAGGAGGGAGACAAACCCTTCCAGGTCACAGCCCAGCAACCCCCAGCTGCAGGTCAGACCCTGCCTTCTCCAGCCCTGCCTGGAGCACAGGTAGCTCTTGGGAACATCTGAGATCTAAGCCTTACAAGGTGGGAGGAGACCCCTGATACCCCTCGAGGCCTTGGTGGAGCTTCTCTATCTGTTGAGAACGTCCAGGACATCTGTTGCAGACGGCTGCCACGTGTGCCACCTCCTACCTCAGGTCATTTGCCATCCCCAGAGCACACGAGGCCCCTCTCCTGAGACTCCCAGCCGTGGGCCAGGACCCTGCAGCCCTGCGTCCTGTCTGTCCTCTGCGTGGCTTAGCACCTTCCCTAGGTGACAAAGTCCTGCAGGCCAGGACCTCACAGGACTGCACCTTCACGAGCTCAGTGTTGTGTGAGAACTACTTTCTTTTTTTTTTTTTTTTTTTTTGTTTTTTTTTAGAGACAGGGTCTCACTATATTGCCCAGGCTGGAGTGCAGTGGCTATTCACAGGCGCGATCCCACTACTGATCAGCACGGGAGTTTTGACCTGCTCCGTTTCCGACCTGGGCCGGTTCACCCCTCCTTAGGCAACCTGGTGGTCCCCCGCTCCCGGGAGGTCACCATATTGATGCCGAACTTAGTGCGGACACCCGATCGGCATAGCGCACTGCAGCCCAGAACTCCTGGACTCAAGCGATCCTCCCACCTCAGCCTCCCGAGTAGTCCCAGCTACTCGAGAACTACTTTCTAACCTGGGAAGAGCGAGCAGCGACAGCTCTACCCCGCTCTGATCGGGATAACGTGGCCGCCGTCACCAAAGCAGAGGGACAGAGAGCTGGGCCGTGTCTGCCCGGTTACCCCACCCCAGACCTGCTTTTACCCTTCTGCCTGGGGTGGGAGCCCACGAGGACAAGGACTTCATCTCGGTGGATGCTGCTGGAATTCATGAGCACAGACACAGCCCTGTGACCTGCGGCCACGTAGTACGGCCCGAGCTCTACTTCATGTCCCTGGTGCCCACGAACAGCCGCCCGGAGTGTGTAGACGCCCTCTGGAAGGGAGAGACAGAGAGCAGCCCCAGGGCTTCTCAGTGCGGGGTGCAGCCAGGAGGGGTTCCCATCCCTGCAGCATCAAGGCCAGCTGAGGCCACATGGCCCACAGGCTGCTTGGGACGTGGGAGGCCCCGTACTTTGCAGGCTGAAATTCTGAATCAATAAAGGGTGTTTTGTTTGGTTCTGTTTTGTTTTGTCTTTTCCAAGCAAGGAGCACTGAATATTTTCCACCAGTCCCTGAGAATGAGGTAGCCAGCCCTGCACAGAAGGAAATGAATATTCACAGGCTGAATACAGGATTTATCCCATAACCATGGAGGGAGGGAGAGAACCAGCCAGAAGAGGTCTACCACGAATGACTGGCAGATCTAAAGTAAATGGCCTCAGCCCTCACCCCGTGTCACAGCCACACAGTGGGACTTTTGTGTGAATTTCTCACTAACAGTAGTACAGAAAAGACCTGTGTATCACGCCGCTTGAGGGGCAGAAATTACTAATGGACCCAGGACACAAGAAAGACCCTCAGTGGAAATGGTCGAGTAAGCACCCAACACCGTGAATCTACACTCGTAAGGGAAATAAATCGGCACAAATGTGAGTGTTGACCGTGTTTTACTCTGGTGTGAGGGACTGGAAGTGTAAATAAGGGCCAGAATGCACTTTGACATAGAGGAAAACATTAAACGGGGAGGGGAGGAAAGAAGGAAAATTTAAAAAGTCAAGAATCCAACTCAACACGGAAAACAAGGAAAGAGTAACACAAAACAGAGGAGAAAACAAAGATCACAGTAGGAATTAATAAACTAGGAGAAAACACAGAATGAACAAAACCCTAAAATCAAGAAATAAGCTTTGAAAGAAACGAATGAAAATTCTCTCAGCTTAATCAAGAAAAAGTGGAGAAATAATAAAACACAAAATAAAAAAGGTAGCCAGGTGTGGCGGCACAAGCCTACAATCCCAGCACTCTGGAAGCTGAGGCAGGAGGATCACTGCAAGTTTGAGGCCAGTCTGGGCTACAAAGTGAGTTCAAGGCCAGCCTGAACTGCACAGCAAGACCCTTTCTCAAAACAAACAAACAAAACAGAAAAAAAGTAGAAGCAAATAATCGCAGATGGTGTTAAGTCCTACTCTATGTCAGTCTCTATACAAGTAAATTTGAAAACATAGATTAAAGAGATAATAGTTCTCGCTCTCTGCCTCTCAGACAGGATCTTGCTGTGCAGGTCACGTAACTGAGGCTAGTGTGGAAATCACCACGACCCTTCTGTCTCAGCCTCCCCAGTGTTGGGATTACAGATATGGCCCATCAAAAGAACTGACCATAGGAGAAAGATTATACAGATGAAAGGAGGGAAGGTGGGTGTGAGGCCCTAGGCAATAAAAAAATGAGTGTCCTGGAGGGCTGAAAAAGAAACTCTTCAGAGAAACATAAGTATTTCCAAGCGTCCAGAAGAGTGCCCCTTTCCTTGGTTGGATATGCCGCATATTAGCACTTTCACGCGGGGGAACTGAAGGGCATGCACAGTAAAACCGCGGGCAGATTGTTTTCCTCAGCACGCTGATGCCTGCCACGCAGAACAGAGCAGAGCAGTGGCCCTGCTTACAGCGGTTTAGCGACAGCCTGCAAAGGATCACTTACGGAGCACTTGGGGTAACGATTTCTTTCTCTATTTTTTTGAGACAAGGTCTCGCTATGCAGCCCAGGCTGGCCTTGAACTCACAGCAATCCTCCTGCCTCAGCCTCCCACATGCCGGGACCACAGGCACTCTATGAAATGGTGCGCAAGCCATCAGTTGCTGCCAGGTCCCTCCTGGACAGACCCAGTTAATCCAGACATCAGTCCCCAACCTGTTTGGCATCAGAGCCAATTTTTGCACAGGCCGCTCCAGGTGGGTGCTTTGGAGATGGTTCGGGCGCATTACTTTTACTGCACATTTATTTCTACTGTGACCGCACTGTGAATTTTACCTCTATTTTCATTACAGCAGATTCTCATTCGCATTGTGCATGTCACACTCTGCCTGCACAGTCGAAGCAGGGCCAGAGCTCCCAGGCAAATGGAAGGCAGGGGCCCAGACCTGCTGTGTGGTCCTGGCCCCGGCAGGCCAGGCTTGGTTAGGCCCCAGAAGTAACATTAGAAAAGAGAAGAAATACTGAAACCCTGCCCACGCTGAAGACAGCGTCCAAATTCTCCTTCAGCTCTCAACTGCAGGGCTTATGGTCAAGCAGAAGGTCCCCACCACAGATCTGTAACGAGAGACCCTCCCTTCTCCCTCTCTGCGCCTCTCCCCGCCTCCTCTGCCCCTCCTTCCCCTGCTCCTTCATTCCTGTCTTTCTTTCATGAAATGAAATGTGGGGAGTTGAGCACAGAAGGATTTGTGTGCAGTGCTGTGTGTCTGAAGGGCCGGCGAGGAGCCCCCTGCAATGGCGATGGTTTCAGGTATTTGCCTGTAGGAAGGGGCCCATGTCCCCTGACCCCTGACCCCTGACCCCTGACCCCAAGCAGAGGTTTTTAGGTGTGGGGGGTCACCAGGCTGCTGGGGGTCCAAAGACAATGGACCTCTGCCCTCTTCCTGCCCGACTCCTCTGCCCCAGGCCTGTATTTCTGCCTCGAGTCCAAGAAGCACAGGGCACCTACCTTTCCTGTACTGGTGGAAGGCAGTCACCGCCACAGCCTCGGTTGTATCTTGGAGTCTTATCTCTGTGCCTGTAGTGTCCCCAAAGTCCACGCGCAGGTGGAGAGCCTCCCCCAAAGCCAGCTGCACACAGAACCCCAGGGCTGGTGGGCCCCGAGCCCCTACATCCCGGGAGCTGAGGATGGTACAGCTTGTGGCACCAGGCAGAGTCGGAGCAGGACAGTGGGGACTCTGGGGACCAGATGGGCACCCACAGGGGCTGAGGGTGTGGGTGGCACCAGGTTGCAGGCCCAGGCAGGGGCGGGGGGAGGCAGAGCCTCTAAGTCTCTGGGTATCTGTCGGGGTCCCAGGCGTGTCACCAGACGGGGTAGGCGTGGGAGCCAGCAGCCGGCCTGAGCTGTGGGGAGAAGCACAGTGGGTGGCTGAACCCTGGCTGGTGGCACCAGCACCCATGGGTGCCTGGCGCCGGGGCCCACTGAGCAGAACCAGGGCCATGGGCAGAAGAGGCAGGCTCTGGGGGTGGCCTGAAAGGACTCATCTCCCTCCCAGCTCCCCCGTCTCCGCTTCCTCACCTCCATGGTGTGAGTGGCTCCTTCCCCAGGCCGTTTCTGTTGGTGCCAGTGGGCCATGAACTGAACCTATGAGCCAGACAGGCTTTAAGTTACGGAGGAGCAGGTATTTTGTCTTGGCAATGAGGAAAGCAACTGAGATCCCTCAGATCAGAGAGAAATACTTCCCCAGGAGCCCAGGAAGTCACTGTCTTTTTACCCCTTGAGTACCAGGGCTTGAACCCAGGGCCTTCGCACTGAGCTATGTCTCAACTCCATTTTATTTCTTATTTGGGGCCAGGGGCTCACTAGGTCATGCAGTGGCCCGGGCTGGGCTTGAACTTGTGATCCTCTTACTTGAGCCTCCTAAGCATGCCAATTCCAGCTGAGCACACCATGCCCAGTTAACCTGAGTGACCTCGAGGCCCAGCCTCACTTCCCTGACCCCCTCTCGTGCATATGCCGTGCCCACCCCTGTAGAGACACAGTCAGACAGGGCTGCTGTCTGAAGCGCCGGCCAATCTGAAAATAGTGGGAACCATGTGACTTGGGATACTGATGACATGGTCTCCATGGTGGTCACTCAGAAAGCACTGGCCTACGTGAGAGCTCTAGTGATGGTGAACAAGGAAGACAGGAAATCCCAGCAGATGGGGCAACGTTGGGGTGAGAAGGGCTGCAGCACCCCTACCTCCTGGGAATAGTGGGGAGACTGGAAGATGATCCCTCAAGCAGAGCTGGCTGGGTGCTGGCCTGGGGGGATCCGACTGCTCCACTGGGGACCTCTGTGGTGACAGTCCCAGGAAGCAAGGTGTTGGCTGTGTCTTCTGCAGAGCAGAGTTTTCCTGAGTCACAGCTGGAAACCTCCATCCACCAGCTGCAGGGGGCCGCTGCCGAGGAGGCCTCCTAGAACAGGACAGCTCAGTGACCAGGGGTCACTCTCGTGACCTCCTGTGGCATGAGTGATGGCACCACGTTGAGACTGAGGTCACTTATGAGGAGTGGTAGAAAAGTACACAGCACAGGAAAGGGCGCATTGCCATGGGTCCCCTCAAAATCCTCCCCCTGGCTCGAGCATCCTCGCCCTAGGGTTCCTGCCACTCTCAGCAGCAGCTCTGGAGTCCTCTTTTCTGAATGTCTCTGTTTGTGCTGTCACGGTTGCCTCAGTGTCTTAAAAGATTCAAAACATTTCCCTGTCATCATCATCCTGACTGGGGAAGAGCCAGAAATCGCACAGTGCCAAACCTGTGATCGGGCGGTGAGCATGCAGCATGGGCTTACAGGCTCGCTGGATGATGCCCAGCAGCAGCACTGGGGATTTTTTTTTTTTTTTAATCACAACTCATAAAGACCCTCAGGAAAGAGGATTCCAGAGCAGCTGCAGAAAGCAGCAAGGAGGATGGGATGAGTGCTCGAAGAGAGGGGAGATTTTGAGGGAATGGCAATGGATGGTTTACTGGGATCAACTTTTTCAAGTTTTAAAGTAAACATTCATCACACCTGTGCATTTTCCAGCATCCCATCAAGTGAGAGGAGCACCCAGCTGGTACCTGGGCACTGCCATCAGGAATGCCAGAAGGCTTATCACCAAGGGTACACGAAGGCCCTCAGGCCCCATAACAGACATGAGAGGTCCCTGAAGTGGGCACTGAGGGCCAGTGTCCTCGTGGACAGCCCTTTCTCTCTGTCACCTTACTGCAGCGAGAAATTTCAGTCATGCCTTCGGAGGCCTGCACAGGCCCAGGGGATTTAGGAGAGGCCGGGGTCCCTACCCCACTCCCCAGCATCGGGGCACCGACACCAACCTCGAGTGTCCCTGAGAACGTGCTGCCTGTGTTCCCAGCCGCACACTGCTGCCAGCAACAGGAGCTGACATCCCTGTTGCTCGCGACAGTCATGATCATCACAGATGTCTCTCGGCGGGCTCTGGAGGTGCAGGGAAAGGGAGGGAAGAGGGGAAGGAGTGCTTTTCAGCTGTGATATGCTTCTGATGGTCAGCGTCTGTTTTGTTAGATTTGTTTTCTGATCTAAAGTGTCCTGAAAGTGGCTGAGGCAGGAGGCAGGGTCTGGGGGTCACTGGGGCTGTGGCCAGAACAGCACGAGCAGGGGCACAGGGGGCTTTGTGGCTCCGCTGCAAGTGTTGGCTCAGAGCCCAGATGGGTGGCCCTGGGCAGGGCCCACCCACCTGCGTGCTGTTCTAGGGCCCAGGTTACCTCGTGGTGCCCTCAGAAGCCAGCTCACCCTGGGACTTACAGGTAGAACGCACACCCTGTGAATCCCACTGGCGAAGCTCCGGCAAGTACACAGTGCTCAGTGCCTGCAGCCCAGGTGAGCCGGCGCTGAGCAGCCCAGAGAGGGCCCCCCACTTGTATTTTCATTAGGTATGATGGAAGACAGCGGACTTCTTCTCTGCTTGTTGCCAGCATAGGACAGAATGGCTCCGCCCGTGCTAGAAAAAATGCTGAGTCCTTCCTGCCCACCACGCTGCCATGGGCTGCGTCTCTCCTCCCCCAGCACTCTGCCTCAGGCAGGCAGACTGTGGAAATCCAGCCCTGCAAACTGTGTGCTGAAATGAACCTTGCTGCCTTTAAGAATGGGGCTACCTGCTTGGCCCGGGGGCGCCTAGCTACTGGAGAATCACAGCTGGGCTCAGTGGTGTGCTGACAATCAGCCTGTCACACCACAGAGCTCCAGGACCTGTTCCCATGAAGCAACGTGGTTCTCTCCCCACTCCTCAGCTCCCTGAGTCCCCCAGCCCCAGCCCTGTGTGGAGGCGCAGGGCCTTGACACAGCTGGAATCCAGGGCCCACATCTGCCTCCTCCTGGATGGGGCAGCAGCCCCAGCTGGCTCTGTGCCACCTCTGAGTGACAGGGACCCACTGCAGTCGCCCAGTAGTAAGGGGTAAGCCTCGGGCCCACATGCTGTGTAATGCCCAGGAACATGTGGTGGGCTCTGTGGGCCTCCTGGCTTCTCTTGGGCATCTCTGAAATCTCCTGAGGTGTACTCTCAGACACACAAGGCTGCCAAAGAGGTAAAACTGGGTGTTTGAGACAGTCACAAGCCCAGTTGTTGGTGGAATACCAGGGTTGCCACGGCAGGGCAGATGAGGCCTCCAGTATTGAAAGAGGCAACCAGGGCAGAGGAGGCTGTGTCCGAAGGTGAAGGCCTCAGCTGGGCCAAGCTGCTGTCAGCGACTGGAGAATTCTGTATTTCTTGTCTATCCTTAGCTGTGCTTCTCTTCCAAAGGCCAGAAAAATGAGAAAATAAAAAATAGAAAAGAGACAGCTTTGGAACCATGCATGTCCTACTACAAAACTTGAAGGATTTTAAACTGGGCATGGCAGCAGATGCATTTCATCCCTGGGAGGCTGAGGCAGGAGGATCAAAAGCTTGAACCCATCTTGCACAACTCAGTGATTTAGCAAGATCCTGTCTCAAAATAAAAACTGTAAAGGGCTGGGGGGTATAGCTCAGGGCAAAGGCTCTGGGTTCCATCCTTAGTAAAATAGACAGATAAATAAATAAATGTTTTTCAAATCCGAAAGGATTAACCTGGAAGGCAGACACAATGGCGGACAGAGCCAACCTGACTTCTGTGCATCATGTAGACCCCACAGCCCACCACTCAGGCCTTACAAGGTGAATTAACCCCAGCCTAGACAAAGTCCTGGTCCTCTGAATGCCCCCACGACACACAGGTGGTGACCACTGAACCCTAGGGTCCTGCGGCTCAGCCATGACTCCCAGCCAGGCCACCCCCTCCCTGTGCACAGGCAACAGGGAACCAGGCTTCGAGGCTCCTCCTAGGCCTGGGGTGTGTTCTGATGACCTGGTCCAGGAGGGCAGCGGAAGGGTGTTTCAGCACTCGGCCACTTCCTTCTCCCTGTGCTGCTGAGGGGACGCAGGCCTGGCTCAGCAGTATTGTCACAGAGGGGCCTTGAGGCCTTTGCCAGCAGCACACTGTTCTGGGGAAGGCTGCAGGGCTCAGATGCTTGGGCCTCGGGGCACCCTGTGCCCTGAGGGGACAAGTGGAGCCACTCCTCAGTTGGTTGGGCTCTGGAGGCAGGGAGGGATCACAGCACACAAGGATGGGCCACCCGCCTCTTCCGTTTGCTGAGTCCCATCGACAGTTAAATACTGACTCACAGAGAGCTTCCATTCAGAGATCTGAGGTGATAGCACGGGTGTGCACCAAAGCCTGGCCCTTGTTGTGCCCAGGGCTGGACCCTGATGCCAGGCTCCTGGTGGAAAGAGCCCTGCATGGCTGTCTGTGTGGTGGCATCTGACTTTCCTCCTGTGCTTTTTATAATCCCAATTACTGATTTAGGCCACAGTGGTTACTTCAGGAGTTCTAATGATCAGGTTCATTGTGTTGGGCACAAACTCAATCCCTGCAGCTCTAAGAGGAGAGGTTTAATAGGCTCATGGTTTCGGGTGGTTCAGTCCATGGTCAGCTGCTCCAAGGCAGAAACAGCAGCATGGAAGGGGTGGCCGGGAAGCAGGGCAGGACCACAGAGTCAGACAGGAAGTAGCCAGGGACCAGATGTGGACCCCAAGGCCATGTCTCCAAGACCCACTCAGACATACCTAGAAGGGTGTTTCCCCACCATCCTCAGGGCTGATGTCAAGGCAACCAGGCTGAAGGAAGGTCTAAGTATCTCAGAATTTCAAATGCTACTGCTCCATCTGATGGATCGACATTAGCCTTAGAGAGCAAGTATCATAATTATGAGCCATGTGGCCTCTACATGGTGGCCCTATTGTGGGACAGAGGAGATGGAGAGGAGGTGGAGGATCTGACACATCCACCATGCATGCCGGGCATGCCAGGTTCACAGGCTGCTACGACCCAACATGTACACCCTGAATCACCACACACAACCCGTGCTGAGACCACTTCCATGACTCAGAGCCTAGCACAGCTCACACTCTCCTCTGTTTGTACA